TACCTGCATTCCTTTCATGTTTTACTTTGGCTTTGGATAGTGGATAGAGGGGAGAGTGTGAAGTGATGGGTAAAGGGGTTTGAGGCAATACGTTCGGAGGAATTGAGGACTGGGGTCGGTGCCGCTTTTGTGTCATCCTCGTCGACGCATTCGTGTCAAATGTATTTCCCTTTTTCCTCCTTTTTCTCTCTCTCTCACTCTCTGTCTGTATTTTAGTGTAATTTTGTTGATTACAACGTTGTTGCCCTTTTCTCTCTCTCTCTCTCTCTTCGCCTCTGGTCTGTGTTTGGTGTGTGTATGTGACATTGTTGAGTGTGTAATTTATTTCAAGTGATCCTAAATTATATATGTATTTGTGTCTGTGTCTGCATCAAGGGTTTGGCTACACAGCAAAATATATGGCAGGGATACGCTTGAATTATGCATAAATTGGGGTACACTTTTATCACTTTTTGCATGAATTTATGATAATTATCATGTATTTTTAAAGCAATTTCCTTTTATTTAGAGTAATGCATATTTTGTGAAATAATTACTTTAATGTATGGAACATTCGCCATATAAATGGTGAAAATTCTCTCTTATTTTATAGAATTTTATTTAACACAGCCATTGTTCTCCGAATTCAATCAGAATTAAATGTTTGCAGAGCCAATTCAGGGCCATTTGAAGCCTCTGGGGACCAACCTTTGAGACTAATTTGATTTTACAGCAACACACACCCACCTGAATACAACCCTTCCAAACACCCACCCCGAACACCCACACTCACACCCACTAAGACAAAGGGTCCATGGCAGAAAAGTCTGCTATACTTTTATGTATCCTTCTCTTTTCTTTCTCTGTTCTTTCCTTTCCTTTCGTTTCGTTTCGTTTCCGTTGTCCTTTTGCGCCTTTCTGTTCTGGCCTCCTTTACGGCCGCATTATTACATTTTATGACCAAAGAAAGAAAAGTCATGTTTGGGAGCTTGTTAATATAAAAAATTTTGCTGCTTCGGCCAACCCATAAACCCGCCCTGCGGCCAGACTCAACGCCAAAATGTCTAATGAAATCTAATAAATTAAAGAGATTTACACAAAAGGCCTTTGGCAGGGGGCTATTCAAGGTCCCCCCACTCCCATATTCGATGGTCGTGTCCCTCTGATGTCTCTCGCCAGCGGCTTAATTCCGTGGTTGGCACAACTTACATTATGTTTCAGCCAAATTATTGGCTTTTCGGCAAATTGTAAACTCTCCGAGCCACAAAGGCAGCAGCAGCAACAACAGCAGCAGCAGCAACAACAAGTGTGAAGGGAAGAATTGGCCCAACCCCACTCCTTTATGGCAAACTTTTCCCCCAGTTGTCACACAATCTTTTGTCTCTTGTTGTGCTGAATGAACCCCAAGCAGTGAAGACCCTACAGACAAGCCCAAGGAGATCAAAGATAGCAGAAGGAGAGGTTAAAGTTCACTGAGGCAAAAGGAAACTTTCAACTCGAATCAAAGTTCCGCTTAAAGCCCCAATAGAATGTTTTATTGTATCACCGAATTCATTCAATTAAAATTGCTTTAAATTCCTTTATTTTTATTGCTGCTCTTAATGCAATATCCAATTTCGTGTTTGGCCAAAAAAGTTTAATTGATTTTCAATGTTTATATGTGCGTACGTACCATACATATATGAGTAGTATTCACGAGTATATGGCATCAAAGGCAGAGAACACAACGAATAAAATAGATTATATGCCACAAAGGAAAAGGCTAAAAATTCACATAAATCGAGAAAGAAAGCTGTTCCCCAGGAATTGGTGGCTGGGAGGGAGGATGAAAAATGTAATCAACTCTGGTGGGACACCTCTTCAGCACTGGGTCCAATGGGGGTGCGCAAATCCCCAGGAGAGAAAGTCCTCTATAAATCTCTTGCCATTTTAGAAGGTGCAAAATTGTATACATAAAATATTTCTACTTATTCGCATTCGTTGAGGTAATGTTTTAAAAATGATTTATGGTTCCGCCTCCGCCTCCGCATCCCCCCCCCAATCCCATCTCCAGCGGGTCCTACCGCCCAACGGATGAAGGAGACATGTGTGAGGATTGGTGGAGAGCCCAGACAGGACCGAGGACCTACACTTACTGGCACCTCAAGTGCTCGGCCAGCCATGCAATTACATATATCAGCAGGAAGACAGACACTGGGCGGGGTGGAAGAACCCTCCACTGCTATTTTTGTGCATGCTACAGCACTGGCGAATGCATAAATTATGTAAAATTACCCAAAGAACGAGAGGATGAAGGTCCTGGCCTTCCGTCTCGGTTCGTGCTTGTAAAGTGCGTGTTACATCGAACAAATAATTTCTGGAGAGTGCAATAAATATATGATAAATGTGTTAAAGCAACCCGAGAGTTGCGTTGCCTGCGAAAGTTAATCAAAACATATGAGAAATGGTCTCTCCAGCAATATAGAGAAAGGGATGGGAAAACAAAGTTTCGAAAGGGTTTACACTGAATCCCTTTAAGCGGACGAAATTTGAGTATTTTTGTGGGGAAATGAAGAGTCGATGAACAACATTCATCACTTTAATGATGCCTCCTCGTATTGAAAGCCATCTAAAATTCTCATTTCATGTCTCAGTGTATTTTACAAACAATAGCCACAACACATTGATTCTACTCTCAAAAAATCATATGAAAACCCTCCCTTTTGGTTGGGTAATCTCGACAACTATAGTTATGTCCTTCTCGGACACCACCGCCGACTTCTTCCACATGTAGTGCAGATGCAGGAAGCTGCAGTAGGCGAAGGCCAGGCGAAAGAAGAGCTGCCGGTTGGGCGTGACCAGGCCCAGGACCTGGAGGCCGGGCTGCAGAAGGCAGCGTCTGACGCTCTGGCTACAACTGTCGGCATCCTGAAGACGGCACCGATAGCGTCTCCTCTCCAGCCAGCCGTGGGTGGCGAGTATCTCGTCGAACTGCAGCAGGCGGGCCACCTGCAACCAGGAGGTGTCCTGTGGGGCAGCGGCGGCAGCCACCAGGGCGGACAGGGAGTGCATGAGCTGGCGCAGATTGTTGGCCAAGAGGGCGATCTGGAAGATGCGCCGCCACTGGACATAGGACAGGGAGTAGATCATGCTCAGGTTGTAGACGATGATCAGGACCAGCTGTGGAGTGATGCAGTCGAGCAGCTCCTGGGTGAGCTTCGCATAGGTTCGATGCAGACGCTGAAGAGATTGTAGGCGGCGCTGGAGCCTCTGCACCGCCCTGTGATTGGCCTTGAGGGTACCAACGGGCAGCTGTTCGGCGATGGAGGCCAGCTCGTCGTTCATCATCTCAAAGGATTTTGTGAGAATTGTGAGGGCAATGCTCACCAGATGGGAGCTCATGTCCATCACCCAAATGGCCATTGAGACGGGCACTACGAACACGGCCAATAAGAAGAGCTTCCAAGTGGCGTCGTGGGCCAGCAAGAAGGTCTCGAAGTACATCTTGAAGGTGAGCAGCCTGAAGACCAGCTGCAGCACCAACATCCAGGACAGCCGCAGCTTGCAGCGACATCTGCGGTACAGCTCCGGTGCCAGCCGCAGGAAGCAATTGATCAGCCGGATTCGCTCCTCGTAAACCCTCCGTGGCTGCACCAGCAGACAACAGGCAAACACGAGCAGCTGGATGTGCAGGAGCAGCGCGTAAGGGTGCAGCAGGGCCAGGCTCAAGAAGTAGGCGAAGAACAGCCCCAGCATCCGCGCCATGGTTACACTATATGCGGTCAGGTGCACCGAGTTGTTGGCCGTCTCATAGCGCACCCGCATTAGGCCCAGATAGTAGAACTGTGCCAGATAGAACCGCAGCAGGAGCAGAGCGTGCAGGCTGATGTATCGGTTGCTCAGGTGAAGCAAGCGCCAAAGCGCCATCGATGAAGTTGGGCCCCGAACTGGCCAACATACGAACCCCTGGCGATGCCCTGGATTTTGTGTGGAATAATTGCTGTCATTAGTTGGGTTAATGATCCACTGATGAGCAGCTTGATGGTCTCACATTAGGGCTGGACAATGTTTGACTGAGAACTAGTTCTGGGTCATGAATTCAGGATGATGTTTTTTAGGTTCTTTACTTAGGAATAAATAACATTGCAAGAACCCGAGACCCCTTTCCCATGATATTTCCCCCATTTAATGCTCTAAGAGTCCCTTTTTTTTTGGGAATCGCAAAAGGGACGAACTATTTCTATTACCCAAAAGAGACCCCCCGCCCCGATTAATTTTATTTAGATATTCCCCAACATTCTTGCACTTCATCAACATAATTTGTTATGCAATTAATTTGAGTGGCAAAAAGTAGGAGGAACTTTGTTAGAAGGCGCCAAATGGCTGATGGCTCATGGCTCATGCCTGATGGAGAGAGCTGCGAATGTTGAATATGAAGTCTGGTAAACAAGTTTCTCATAATTTCCATAAAATATTTCATAAACAACTTGAGAAATGGGGGAAAAAGCTGAAAGTAGAAAAAGAAAACAAGGGAAACTCGCAGCGGTAATTAAAAAGTTCACAAAAGAGTCCGGTCCGGTCTCCAGGGACTCCAGAGACTTTGGAAAATTGTTACCAAGAAGGACGAACCATCTTCCGATGACAGGGCACAAAACTTGCCGATTGTATGTGGAATGTGGGAGAGCAAAAACTGGCGGGGACACTCTCTGTGCTCCCTTTACCAATCCAAATAAATTAAAAAAGAAATCGCAACTCGTTGCCAAGTTTGTCACCGCAGAAAAATAATAATAAGAAGAAAAAAAAAAGGGGATTATTTTGTATGTAGATGGAAAGCCGAAGCCAGAAGAACCGCAAACTGCGGTTGCCGTGGACGACACTGTGGACGACACTGTCCAGCTCCGGACAGTTGTTGTGGTGTGGTTGTCCCGGCACAGTCCTTGCAGTATCACTGCTCATTATTGTTGTGGGATGCACAGGCATCGGAAATTGGAAAAGTTCCCATCTCCCTCTCCCGTATCTGCCTTTCATTTAGTTGTGCATTTATTAAGTATACGGAAACTGCAGCAAGATGATGGTTGACTGGCAGTAGGATATCATCGATGGACAAGGTCAAGGAAAAGTACAAACTGTAGCCTGTATTTGTGCGCCTTCACACAAATTATTATTCAATTTTCAATTCAAGTATTCAATTGTGTTGCAAGAGAGAAAAATGTTTGCTCAAGTTTTGATTTTCCCGCTTGACAAGAGCACAGCTGACAATAAAACCGGAACAAAAACTTTTCTGTTGTGCTCTCCGTTGCTCTCTTCCTTGCGCGCTCTCTGTGCGTGGGTGAACCGATTTGGGACTTATCTTTGGGACATTTAGGGGTAGTTCGAAACGGTTATAATTTATCTGAACGTCTCTCAAAGCGGGGAAATGTTTAAGTGTGCAAATTCTGCTGCGATGTTTCCAACGGCTTGGCAGTGGAATTTCAAATAACTGAATGAATGAATGAAACCGAAAATAAATAATTTACGTGTGTGGGTGGACGACTGAGGATGAGAACTAACTGCTATCAGCTATATCGCGACGCAGCCAGTCAAGCAAAGCATCCCGGGCACACTCCGCATCCGCATCCAGGCAGAAAAGTTGACGCACATCCTCCAGCCAGTTGCCGATTATGTAGCGCTTGATGCACGGCATCACTCCCAGCTCTCGCAGTGCCTTCAGGCAGTACACCTGCAGGCGGGGATTGGTCTCGGTGGACATCAGGCGACCCACATAGCAGGGCAACGGCGTGAATTCCCGGCTACGCCAAAGGGCGCGCTTGCTGTGGAGGCCGTTGAGGAGGGCCAGGACCACAAACTCCCAGCTCATCACCTTCTGTCGGTGCAGCAATTTTTTGGGGTTGGTCTCGATCTCCTGGAAAACTTCGTACAGCAGCTTCACCCCATCAACGGCATCGAAGCGGCGCTGGCCCTCTGGACAGCGGAGGAGCAGAGCAAAGGCCTTTGTGGCCATGCACCAGTAGAAAGGTAGGCGGTTCTGGATCCGCGAATGCAGGAACTCAAACAAGCCGAGTTCGATTCCGCGCTCGGGTTCAAGCTCCAGCATGTGGCACAGATGGTGCCAGAAATGCCGCGGATATATGGGCTGGCAGCGATCCTGCTGAAATATCACAGCCGCTGAGATTAAGTTGTCGGGATCCTCCATCATGATCCCCAAAACTGATGAAGAATATTGTTTAGCAATTAAATAATTAAGGTGTAACATGATTGATTGATTACCTTTTGGTTTGCCCGTCAAATTGCGTAAGATTTCAGCGGCCAAGTCTTCTTGGAGTGGCACTCGATTCTGTATGATTTTGTAGAACTCATTCCTCAGACATTTTCGATTAGCAATATTCTCAGCGCCATTTAAATTTCGAGACAGAATGTCTTAAGAAGAGGAGGGGTATATGCAATTTATTGTTTAATGCATTAATGCTATTGTCCACACTGTACTCACTGAAAATCTTTAGATATGTTTCCACCTCACGGTACTCTTCTTTGTGGATCCGCAATCTCATCCTCATAAAGGCATTCTTCACCCTGTTGGAACGGAAAACAAAAACAAAAAATACAGATCATCCATCAGCTCCAACAGCAGACTCAACCCACTTTCTCACAATATCCATTTCAGTGATGGCTCTTTGAGCATTCAACGGATTTAATAGGAACTCTGTCAGCGAAACAATGGCCTTCCAATGGGTCAGACACACATCACTGTCCATTTCTTTCATCAATTTGGGTAAAGCAAACCACCCGTAGGCCAGCTGTGCCCGATCATTAAAGTACGGGGAGCTCGGGGTGCAGTCGTGTGGATAGGATTTGCACTTTCCCCGCTTTTCCATGGCCTCTTTCCATTCTAGGGTGTTGCACTTTCGTATATATAGAGCTGCAAAAAATATCCAATTCCCGACTCACCCGTATTTTGCTGGCAGTTTATGGAGCTGGACTTGAGTACATCTTTGACTTCTAGATGTAAAAAGTTATTGCGATATTTTTCCAGCTGCTCCCACATTTTTTCCAATGTAATTTTGTTTTACTCAATGTTAATTCTATAAAATATTACAAAATATACACTAAGCGAGTTGTTTTTCTATAAAAAAAAGGTTTGTAAGTGACAAAATTTTGATTTAAATTTCAAACAACAGTTTGGCGGCAAATAAATCTACCAGACTGTCACATTACGTTGAGTTAAGGTGCTGCCACGCAGTTGTATCTCAAAGCTCTTTCTCTTAACGCAAAAATGAGCTATCTCTCTAATTAAAATCCAATATGCCTTAAATTTGGAAAAATCGTACACTGTTTTCATTCAATTGGGAAATTGCCAAACTCCAACTTCAGTTATTGCTGTAAAATAAAATTTCGAGAAGTTGTGATTTTAACTGTGACTTGAACTTGTCTGCGAATTGCTCTTTCTCTTCTTCTTTCCACCAACATCTCAATATCTCAAAAATTCCTTAACTTTTGAATTGAGCGGTTGCTGCGCGCGTGATAAACAAATTGAAAGCAACAACAAGATTAGCTAAGATTTAACAACATTTGAATCGAATGGACATATTATTGGCGTAGCTTGCGAAATAGAAAGTGAACGTTTGCAATGCAAGTGAACTGCACTGACTTCAATGCTATATCGTTTCAAGTTTTCTTGGACAGCGGTATTTAATTCGTGTGGCAGTCAAAAATGTAAACAAACGCGTTAAATAATTAACAAAAACACTGACCAAATATCGAAAAAGCGAATTGCTCCGGCTTTGTTGTTATTTTGCTGCTGCTTTCGTGCCGGTGTCTCTCGCTCTCTTTCTAACTGTTCCTGTGCTTTCGCGTGTGTGTGTGTGTGTGTGTTTTGCCTGTCATCCTGCCTGTGTGTTGTTTGTGTTTTTGTTATTGCGATTGTGACGGTGTGCCGGAGCAGACAACAAAAGGAATTGCGCTTTCCGCAGCCGTCTCCACAACTCCCGCTCTCCTCTACGCCTCCTGCCTAGTTACCGTTACTTGCTGCACTGCCAAAAAAAAAACAACAAAAAAAACGAATTTTTGATAGAAATAATTTATACATTTTTCGAAGAAGGATTTCAATTCCAATCGACAACAAAGATGGCCTTGATAAAACTGGCAAGGTGAGTTCTTAAATATATGCTTATATAGTGGTATTATATACATATTGGTATTTATGGTGATACATACATATGTACGCGCTGAAGCTGAACCGGCTTCGAAAATTCGAAATTGCACCGTTAAAAGCGTCTTCTCCTACTCTGTTTGCGTTTCCACTTAACGGGGCATAATTACGTAGGTTACTCCATTAACCAGGAGCGGAGTGATACCTATGAGGGTAGTGTAAAGCGGGCACCCAAATCCTATTAATCCCATCACTATGATTAATCTCTGTGAACTAGGATTAGGATCTTAATACATATCAGGTCGTATATGATAACTCTCTGGGTGCGAATCCACCCCTGTCTTTCAGTTCTCTGTTGCTGTGCCTCTTAGTCAAACAATTACTTAAAGCATGTAATAACTTTTGCTTAAATATTTGTTTCCCCTTTAGTGGTGGATGTTATTGTTGGCCATTTGGTCAATGCACTCACGCGGCCCTGGAGCGTAATAAAATTGTTTGCTAAAAATACTCCCCCTGATTGCGATACTCCCAAGGAACAGATTATATTATAATGATTGCCCCAACTCGTGCCGATTGTTTGATATTAGATAGTATCACTTGTTGATTATCCATACAATTGTCACAAAGAATAACAAATGTCAATGAATCGGATTTCAGCTACTTGTAGCGGTGGGCGGGTTGGGCGATTATTCATTCATTGTTGATTACGGCTGATATAAATGTACACTGCACACTCCGCCCACAGTAAACACACAACGCCGCAAAGGCGTTGCGTCTCTGATCAGTTGATTGGCCCGCTGAATGATTGCCCTCGTGCTCCAAAACGTTAACGCCACATAGAATTACATGCTAAATACTATACAGTGAAATTTCTTGATTTACCAGTACATCTGAGTAAGAGAGATGAGGGGAGGATACCCTCCTCTAATGATCCCATTTGGTATATTCGGTAAAAGTATTGCTCCTAGGCAGATGACTTCTCTTGCCAGCACTCACTGTAAAGATTATGTACACATTCAGATTACAGAAGCATGAATCAAAAGGAAAAGCAAATGTCTCAAGTCATTTGATTGCGAATTGGGTTAGAGCTGGTTCAAGGCGGTTTATATGGCTGGCCCCCCATTCATTTCACGCTTTATTAGCGGGATTCATATTTGATTTAGATATTCTTATATTTTCATCTTGGAGTTGGCCCATATGTATGGCTGTATGGCTACTGTTACCCATTGCTACCTCTTTACCATTGACTCATTCAACGTTGAGGGGCGACCTCCCCTGACAGTACCAATCAAGGGATGCGTTCTGCCCAGTCCAAAAATAGTAACTCCTAGGCCCCACTCGTAATTGATTGTAATTGGAGCTGAAAGCGAATGCTCCACTCTGAAGTGCAGCTTCTCTAAACAGATGACAAATCAGGCAGGGCAGGCACTGGCACAGAGCAACAGAACAGCAGCATTTCATTGGAAGCTGTAAAAGTGCAGTGGCAGGCAGTCAAGGCGGCGGATTGTATCTACAAAAGATGTATGTACATATCTGTATCTTTATCTGTATCTCCAGCTGGATGACTGACTGGATGGCCCCAATATGTCCTCGCCTGGGCTGCTGCTGCTGGTTGGGGCTTGCCCATGCCATATGCAATAATATACCTAGTATATAGTATAAAGAGAACACAGATATAGACAGAGACAGAATGGAATGGAAACTTTTTTATGTACGAGTAAGCACGAATAACACAATGAAACTTTGCGAAAGGCAAATAAGAGTAAAACGGCATAGGGATGCTGCTGCTGCTGTTACTGGATTGATAAAGCTTGTAATCTATATGACGACATGTTAGCGAGTTACTGTATAAATAGTATCACTACATACATATGCATATACTCTGCATACATACTCACTTTTAACTTTCGTCTGTATAGGTAATCGTCGGACATATGGGAAGACCTTATTGTTATACGACTCGTGCAGTAGCCTGAGCCTGTGACTTGGGCTTTAATTTAATTATGACTATTTTATTAATTGAAATGCGTAGTAGTATTTCTATAAATGGAATTTATTCTCTATTTCATATTGTTGTTGGTATTTTATCTGCTATACTGTGTACACAAACAACAAAATTCTAAATTCTGATGTTTGGGATGCTTTATAATCCCACATTTTATGGTCAGTTTTGATTTGTCACTCGAGCCAGACACATAACTCGCATTGCGACTCTCGCATTTGCAGCTGCTGACACATTCCTGACGTGGGGTAGATCGCTGATCCATCAATAAGATACGCCACCACAAAGTTCATTCAACCTACTCCTAGTCCTCCTCCTTTGTGATAGTCCGCAGTCCGCGATGCACTTGATCGATCAGTGGGAAGTCTTGGCCCTGCACTCGTGAGTACAAAGCTGCAGAAGCGATAGTGGATTGCGCAATCTTCTAACATGTCACAGTGGTGTTGGTTCCCCCTCTCGTATTCGGAATATTGTATCTCGTGCAAACCAGTTTGAATAACCAGCAAACAAGCCAGACCAACACACCCCTAGCCCCAATACCCAAATCCCATACCAACGTCAGATGCAAACATTGTAAGTATTACTTGTACTACTACTCGCAATACAGTGCAGGCTCCCACGGATGGACAACAAAGTTTTCAAATGATTGGACGAGTATCAAAATTCGTTATAGGGAAACCCGTCGTCAGAAACTGATTTAAAAAAATAATTACAGAAAATGTCAAACGCGAGACACACATGCATATTAAATACAGGAATTATTTGCAATTGTTAAGCAATCGCAATCAACCATTGTTCCTCATTACAGCGAGAGCTAATAATAGATGATTCATAAATCTATGAGAACTTCCTCGATTGCCTCATAGTTTCAGCAGCTGCTGCAGCAGATCCAGTAGGAACCCGTTTGGTTGAAATCAAACAAATTTATTAATATTGCTCAGTTTATAGGATATTCATGCCAACAATGATATCAAACTCATACACATAGCAGTACATTAACTGCTGCGCACAAATTGAAGATCAAACAGAGCAATTGAATGGATGGACAAGTACGAAGTTTCCATACACTTTATCCCAGAAATTTATTCGCCAAATTCCCACATAAACATCGTAACAGATAACTTGATTTAGGAAAAGTATATTACCATTTCAGTTATTGATCTTCTTTAAGATCGATTGTAGAGTATTTTTTGAAGGTAAACAAGGTGCCCACCACAGAATCCTGACCAATAAACGTTTTGCGCAATTCAATGTCTGGTTTTCTGATGGTTAGAGAATGCGGGAAATCCGGCTGAAAGCAGTTTTCACCAAACTTATCCAAAGTCAAGAGCAAGAGCGTACAGAAAACTCACATATAGAGATACGAATACGAACGAATAGCACGAACCCATACCTGCAATATACCATACATATGTACATACGTACAAGAATTGAATGAAATGAAGTGAAGTGAAGTGAAGGGTTCTCTCATACTCGTACTCAAATACACGTACAACACAAACAAATGAATGCAATTCTACTACCAGTGGCAGGGGACAGGGACAGGCAATTCAGAGAAGGGCAGTGCAGGGTGGTGGAGCGGGAAAGTCTTCGTCGTCATACATTTTTCGACCTTTCCCAGGAAAATTGTATGCACGCGCGGCACGTGGCGTATGCGCAATAAATATATATAATTTCTCTCATGCCCATTCCCCCTCTTTCTCCAGTTCCGTCTACAATTCCACTAATTTCTATCAATTGCAATAAGTCCAAAGTCCCTGGGCGCCTGCTCCCCTGCTCCCCATGTATTATGCATTCCAGGACCTTGACTGTAATCATCCATAAATAAATACATCTGCAAGTGGCAATTATCAATCCTAAGGGGCAGTCAATTGGCTTGCATACTTGTAGCAGCACGTGATAATTGTTACTACATTCCTCCGTACTTTGATCCACCTACGGGTTTGACGTTTCCCATTTGACTTTTTGATGCTGTGGAACTTGAGTTATTTTGGGACAGATCCGCTTAATATTCGCTGTAAATCCCCTGTTATTTAAACCTTTTGCTTTGCTTCCAGCTCTGTTGTGCTCGAGCACGATTCCCATTTGGTAAACAAATAATCATGACTCTGCCTGCAATCAGGCAGCCATAATCAATGCACTCCCGTGCATGCCCCCAGCAAATGTGTAGTTAATTGAAATGGTTTTCACTGCTGTTTAAGTGCCAGTTAAGCCTCTGGGCGCCTATTGTTTTGCTGCAACTTAAATCACACTTCACTCAGATGTTTTAGTTGTCCAATTAGTGGGCGGAGGAGGAGAAGGGGGAGGGAGGAATAGTTAAGTGGTTGGCAAATGTGTAAAAAGGGGCTTGTCATCGTCATCGGTCCGATTTAATTTGAAAAAGAGAGGGCGAACACAGTTGTCAAGAAACCTGTTGCCGCTGCTGACTCTTTCTGAGGATTTCCTTTGAAATTAATCATACATACTCGTACTATGGAAACAATAAAACACGCCAAGTGTTTCTCCATAAATCAGAAGCCGAACAGCTTGGGACAGTCGGCCACAGCCGTAGCGTTAAAGAGGACGAACTGCCCTGCAGTCGTTGACTGGAATTTATTGCTTAGTTCTAGATCTCAGAGTAAGTGTTACAGCAGAATAGAGAACTAGCCAACCATCCCATAAAAAGGTCTATTCTTTGCTCTAAATTCCCTTCCATATTGCACGCAGTTCCTTCCAAAAATCTAGGTATGTACATATATTTTGCATTTTGTTCTACACTGCCAGTTCCACCCACTTGGCTGGCAATTTTCTAAATATAGCTTAACCCATTAAAGTCACTTGGAATGTAAAATGCAAAATGCAAAGCCGCCTCGCAGTCGATTCAATTTGTGCTGCAAGTAAAAGTGAATTCAAAAGTTGCTGCCCCTCTCTCTCGCAGAGGCACAAACAGACAGAGTTCATTCATCCATTTTTTTTTGTTTTTTGTTTGTGGGCAAAAAAGTGGACTTCCGCGTATGGTACGAAAGCGAAAGCGAAAACTGAGAGTGAGAGTGTCTCGTGTGTCTGCATCGCCCTCTCTCTATCCCTCTGCCCCACTCGGATCTGGTTGCTTGTTGTTGTCCATTTAATCATTGCAAATTTTATGCAATCTGCTTTTGAGTGCTGATCTTTTTATAACCGCCCCATGATTGTGTGTGTTTGTTTTTGTGTTCCATAAATCAAAAAGCAGATCATGTCAGGCCTTGTCCATGTGGAATTCAATTTGATTAAAAAATGCTCTCGCAGCGTGCGCCAAAAGTGCATTGACTTTAGAGGCGCCTGCTGCACAGCCATTTGGGCAAATGGAAAACTGTTGTAATGGAACTGAAACGTATTGTAATGATCCAAAATAGCATCGTCAGCCAGATAATGTATCTAATTTTAAAGTGCACGCGCTCTGAAGATTATCTATCAAGTGATGGGCACGCGATTCGTATATTTGTCTCTTCTCCATTCCCACTGATGAACATGGATAGCGCCTGGGGTGCTATGGATTTTCCAGTCGACCCAAGGACAGGTGGCATGGGCTTACGATGGCAATCTTTGATAAAGGGCAATTAGTAAAAGTAAGAGGAAACAGTTACTTTATCCAACCAAAATGCACTTTTAGCTTTTTGATTTATCGACCAAACAACGAGATCTAGCCGCCGTTACGGAACTCATTTGAAAAGCGCGCGCACCGGTGCCATAAAACTGTGCTGTTAGGCGCAATGTAAAGTAGCACTTCTCGTGTCCGTCGGTATATTTACGGACCGCAAAACATTTAGCGCACAAAAAATACCAATACCAATCCTAAACAAAATTCATTGAGGAATCGGATAAAATTTTTTTTTTTTTGGCTGAGAGGGCCAACTATCTAGTAATATTAAACTGCATATCAAAATTGACGAATTTCATATCACAAAATATCATGGTATGGCAGCCCGCTGCAACTACGAATTGCACGAGTCTGGCAGCGCCACAAAAACGACGTCCCATTCGTTTTATGTTGTTTTTGTTTGAACCTTAATATGTAAATAATCCAATAAAAAGGAGTTCGGAAAACTTGCCAATCTTGTAGAAAATTTATGTATCTATCGGATAAAATTATTTGTTTAGGGCTGAGAGTCCCAGCTATCTAGTAATATTAAACGGAATATCAAAATCGAGCAATATCAACGTTGAATGTCTCGAAAAAACAATCGATACTATCGTGATAGTTCGGGCTCAAATAATTATTAAAAAACCATTGAAACCTTTTAGGAACTTGTCTATTGTAAAATTTAGATGCCACCTGTCGATTTGTTTACAAATGTGTCTTCGTATTTTATAGCAGCCAATCCAAACATATCAAAAGCGCAACGACTGTAGCTCGATACTATCATAATAGTCGCAAAACCATCGATAGTAGCGGCTAGCAACAAAACATCGATACTATCTATAGTGGCCTCGATGGTTTGACACCTCTAATTCCAAAGAAATATTTTTAAAATTTGCTACGAAAATGAGTGTGGAGACTAGCAAATTGCTGATAAAGAAGCTGCCCTGCGACATGGACGAGCTGGCGCAGTTGATACGGGAGTGTAAGCTGATCATACCACGGTCCTTGAACTCCTACGGAGGTCGGCGAGCCGTGATCGAGTACGCCGATGCCGGCGAAGCCCAGAAGGCGCTGGAAGAACTGAAGGGCCTCAGCGACATACTAGACAAGCCGCTCTGTGTGAGTCCGTTTGGACCACGTGCCGCCCACGACGGAAGCCGTGGCAACAAATGCACCCAGACAAAGACACCGCCATCCGAATCCGCGGCGACTGCCAAGCAGGAGATCAGCAAGTACGTGCAAAGGCTATATGCCTGCAATAATCAGTGTGACTTTACGCAGCCGCCGCCGCCGTATCTCCGCTATAGCTATCCCCCCATCAACGCGGAGATTCTGGCCGCGATTGGTCAATCACTGCAGGCTGATACGCGCTTCTATCAGCAGGTTCTCCATTTGATGAATCGCATGAATCTCGACCCGCCTTTCAAGAAGCGATCCTCCAGGCTAGTCGTCCAGAGCCACCGGAAAAGCGTCGGCATCCAGACGGAGATCATACCCAGCGAGAGTGAAAGCGAGTTGGAGAGCGACGAAACAGAGCCGAGGGCCAAGCGAAAATGTCTCCCACCGTCCACATCCACTGCTGCCAAGGAGAAGAATCTGAAGAGGGCGCGACAAATAGTGCAGCAAGCCGTCAGGCAGGCCAGTCATTCGAATGCCAAGCAGGAAGCCCCAGCTCCCACTTTTGCGGCACCCAAAATTGAGCTCAAACTACCGCAGACGCTGGATCCAGTGGTAGCCAAGCCAGAGAAGCGTTTGTCCATACAAGAGCTAGAGGCGCTGCACATCTACAAGAACTACAAAGAGGGCGAGCCCAGCAACAAGTTGTACATTAAAAACCTCCACAAGAACATCAACGAAGAGCAGCTGCGCGAACTGTACTCGCAGTACACGACGCCAGAGAACCTGGAGATCAAAGTGATGCAGCAGGGACGCATGAAGGGGCAGGCTTTCGTCACATTCAGCAACCTGCCCGATCCGGAGGTGATAGCCAAAGCCCTGGGCGAAACTAACGGCCTGCTGTGGGAGCAAAAGCCCATGATCGTCTGCTACGGCAAGAAGAACTGAGAAGAGGTTAGGGTCTCAGTCCGGAGAATCTTTTCTTAATTGTTTTGTAGTAATTTCAACTGTCCATAACACACTTTACATTCCCAAAGCAAAGCACAAATTTAAACTGTGACTTTTTGTTTCCTTTTTGTGTTTGCAGGCAACTGGGCCTGATTGATACCATCTACGTGGAAGGAGCTCGCCCAGATCCAGCCAATGATCCCGAGGAGTCGCTCAACGAGGCAGACATCACAGCCCCCGCCAACGCAGTGCCCATCAAGACAAAGAAGTCGCGCAAATCGAAGCAGGTGGCAATGCAGCCCTATACCTATGCCATTTCCGTGGACTTCGAGGCCACCTGCTGGGAGAAGCAAGCCCCGCCACAATGGAGAGAATCTGAGATAATTGGTGAGTGTCCCCCACGTTGGGCCATGCACACACAACTCAAAAAGTTGCTAATCATCCGATTCTTGTGACTCACAGAGTTCCCAGCCGTTTTGGTCAATCTGAAAACGGGCAAGATCGAGGCGGAGTTTCACACGTACGTGATACCCTTGGAGTCGCCGCGCTTGAGCAATTATTGCATCGAGCTTACGGGCATACAGCAGAAGACAGTGGAGGCGGGTGTGCCGCTGCAGACGGCACTTAATTTGTTCTGCGAATGGCTGCGGAACGAGTTGCGTGTGCGCAACCTGGTGCTGCCGAAGGTGAGCAAATCCAATATACTGGGAAACTGTGCCTTCGTCACCTGGACGGACTGGGACTTTGGCATCTGTCTGGCCAAGGAGTGCACACGCAAGCGAATACGCAAGCCAGCCTGCTTTAATCAGTGGATAGACGCGAAGGCCATCTACAGGGAATGGTACAAGTATCGTCCCTGCAACTTTGCCGATGCTCTGTCCCATGTGGACCTGACCTTCGAGGGACGTGCTCACTCCGGCATCGATGATGCCAAGAATCTGGGCGCCCTCATATGCAAGATGGTTCGTGACGGAGCCCTCTTCTCGATCACCAAAGATCTGACGCCATATCAGCAGCTAAACCACAACAGTGGCCTCTGAGCTGCAACGGTCAGGTCAGGGTTCAGCCATCGGCCATCCCTCCAAACGATCAGCAGCAGGAGAACCAGAATGCAAACAAATCCATTAATTTATTGGATTATATTTAACATAAAGTACTACAACAACCCCAAGGACATGGAGGATGACCAGGAGATGTGCCTAATCTGACCACAAACGTAAACTAAAACTAAAGTTTTTTGTTTTGTATTTTACCTAATTTCTTGTAACAGCAATTGATAAGACTTGAAATTTGATGTGCATCGCAGTCGATATCCTGCATCTGCATCTGCTTAGGGATCTGAACACCTACTGGATAGCAGGAGTACATCTAAACATCTACACATAGCTATAAATATGGCCTTAGAGCATACATATTTTTCTACCATTCATACTTACTTGGTAATGCTTAGCCGTAGTCTGTAATATGGAATGCAATACTTATTTTAATGACTTACACCGCCTACCACTAGGTCATAGGGCATAAAATAATAATAAAACGACAATAGCTGCATACGTATTATGTGCTGTATTGTGTATCAAATAATACAACTACGAGTGCGAGATCATCCTTTGCTGGGTGTCCTTAAACTAGTGCATCCCCCGAGGGTCTGTGCATGATGGCCACTTGGATGACACCCTTCTTGCCCGTCCTCATCCAGTGGGGATCGTCCTCGGTTAGCCACTCCACCGTGCAGATGGGTAGACCGCAGTAGATGTCGGACTTGATGGTCCGCAGCGCACACACACTGGTCGGTAGGAAGCCACGCAGGCACTCGATCAGAGGCGCTGTGTAATCCCAGTTAATGTCGCCAAGCAGTTTGCGGTAGTTGAGATCCCCCTTGAAAATGACCAGCGCTGCCTCGCTGAGAGAGACATACAGGCAAGGCAGGCGCTTCTTCAACTGGCTGCAGTCGTAGGGGCTGGTCCAGAAGTAGCAGGTGTCGCACAAGATGATTGAACGATCCCGCATGAAGCGGCGCAGTCGCCGTCCAAATGAGGCTATTTCGGCAATCACGTGGCGGCGGAGGAAGGTCAGCATCCAGAGAAAGTCCTGCTTGGTGACGTCGGATATGAACCAAGGAATGGCCTTGACATGGAACCGCACTTTGCTAGCCAAGCCCGCTTCGATGAGGTACTCGGCCAGCAGGAGGTCTGTGAAAAGCTCGAAGCCAGCGTTATCGCACACAATGTCCACATAGACGGGGTCCCAGGCCTCGGTGAGTATGCGCCAGATATCCGCAGACTGATCCACAAGCAGGTCAGACTCGTAGTCCGTCATCAGCATCAGCAACTGGTTATCTGGAGCCTCTTTGTTTATGGACAGATCACAGCGATTGCTCCACAGGGCCAGCTTCAAAATTCGCTGGAATTTCTCCTGAGAGCGCTGCATTCCCCGCATGCCCGTGATAACATCGGTCATTAGTTTAACGACACTAGTCGTGGCATCGATCTTTTTCTGGGCAAAGTAGTCGTAGCTGGAGAGCGAATCCGAGCGCTGAAAAATGGCCCAAATGCGGCGATACATGTAGCATTCGGCGTGCAGCCAGACGGAGGAAAACCAGCGATTCTTATCCTCGTCCAGATTGCAAATAAACCGATTCCAGTCATCTGAATCTGGGGCCTTGCCGTGGAACAGCTTAAACTCCCTGGTTGTCCTGTATCTCATCGCGCAGCAGCTGCAGGCTCCACGAAATCCTTTTCAGATCGAAGTGTGCATAGTCTCCAAAGATCTCCATTATATTCGGCTCGTAGTCGTGTAGGAAAGTAATCATATCGCCCAACATCATGGGCGAGCGGTGCTTAATCGTGAAATATGCGAAACTTCGCTGGAAATGGCCAGACAACTCGTCGCGCAGCTTGGGTGCTACGTCATATATATCGTGCTTTTCGTTGAATACGAGATCCTCCGCCTTTTGGATCTTGGCCGAGCGGCTGATCTCCACAGCAGAGTCAACATCCGTTTGGCTGGTCATCTCAGTGGACAGATCCATTTTGTCGCTCAACATTCTTACTAAAACATAATTTTGATGGCTTCCTGCCAGGCAAAGCTATGATTCCAAACTGTGCTCTTTTATACGAGTATATTATTGAATTTCCCTTTGTAGGGTGAATCTCTGATGGGGGGAGGCGGGGTGGTGTAAGCGATAACAATGCAATAAAGGCTGTACATTAACAATTTAGCTAAGATCTAAGATTACAACAATTCAACTATTCATGAGTTTCTGTATCCTAATCTTGTGTTTACTTGCTCGCAAACTGTATGACGCCGTACTCCCCGGTGAGCATCCATTCCTTGTCCTTGGCAAAGAGTTGCTCGGCAACTCCCTGCCCCAGGCCGCAAATCAGGTCCGCTTTCACAGTGCGCAGGGTGCAAAGATTCGATGGACGGAAGCCTTAGAGAAAGAGAAATTAATGAATGATGAGATATTCATTTGGATATAGATGGTTGGGTTGGGTTCATGGGTTATCTCACCCCTGAGGCAGGTGTCAAAGGATTCCGTGCTGGGCCAGGAGAAATCACCCAGAAGTTTGCGATAGTTGAGGTCGCCTTTGAATATTACCAACTGCGCCTCCTGGAGCCGCGCATAGAGGGCCGGCTTCGCCTCGCGCATGCGGTAGAACTCGTAGGGGCTTGTCCAGAAGTGCTCGAGCGGAGACAGCTCGAACTTGCCCTCGGCTGTGAAACGCTGCCACTTTTTGCCGAGCTCGCTGAGCACAGCATCTGGATGGTCGGCCAGGAACTGGAGCGTCCAGTGATAGTCGTGGGCCATCACGTCCGATATGAACCAGGGAATGGCCTTGGCATTGAATCGCACTTTCGCCGCCAGGCCCTTGTCAATGATGTATTCGGCCAGAATGAGGTCCGTGTACACTTCGTAGCCGGAATTATCGAAGATTATATCGACAATGCCGTCCCCAGAGCCTCCGTCGATTGCCTGCCAAATGGCGGCAGTGCCGTCTATCAGCAGCTTGGATTCCAGATCTGTGACCTGTTCGAAGGCATTGCCAGTGGGTTTCACCTGCTTGCCCGAGGTGATGGACAGATCGCAGCGATTGCCCCACAAATTGAGTTTGATGAGCTGCCGGAAGGTATCTGAGTTTCTTTCGTTCTGGCGTGTGGCCTTTGCCACGGCTAGCATGGCATCGACACTGAGCTTAGCCGCAGTTTGCTTCTGCTCCCTGAAGTAGTCAAAGTCGGACAGACGCGGTGTGGCCTGGAAAATTGCAGAGATTTTGCGGTACATGTAGCACTCGGAATAGAGCCAACAGGCAGCAAAGTAGCTGCGCTTCTCCTTGGGTAGCTTCTCTAGGAATGCGTTCCACATCTGCGTATCGGGATCTAAATAAGAAATACTTTAGCTGTGGGGCGGCCTATGGAACATTAGCACATACCCTTGCCCTCAAAGGGCAACAATGGACCGTTGATGAGAATTTCCTCACGCAGCTGCGTGACAGCCGCTGCATTTCGCTCAATATCCGCGCCTGCGTCCTGTGGAGTCAATGGAGAGAATCAAGGTTACGCATTGGCATTGCCATGGACCATGGGGAATGTAACAACTACTCACTGCACCATATGTGGCCAAAAGTTCGTCCTTGTCCTTGACCAGCGAAGCGACAATTGTGGCCAAAGTCGATGGCAGTCGCACGCGGAACGTGTAATAGGCAAAACTCCTGTAAGCGAGTAATCACATGTCCATAGATATATGTAAAGATTAGTCTGCGTATATAGTATAGCCGTGTTACATATGGACCATTATCTATACTATGTGCTATATTTAGCGGGCACTTACTGCTTATATAGCGCCGCCAGCTCTGTGTGCGGAGGCGTCTCTGAATCAATAATTCCATTCTTGATATCAAAATCGGCATCTAAGGGCGAACTCATTTTCAAAGCCGTTGAAGTTGAAAGTTAAAAGGGTCGTTGGTTTTGATAAATAAATGGCGCGGTTGCGGGAAGATTCCACGGAAAGTTTACAACTAGGGCTGCAAAACCGTCGATGCCACTATCGATTCGACCATCGATATATCGTTTCAGTGAAAGCACTAACCATACATTATATATTATATATATTAATTGTTTGATTTATTTGAAATTTCACATTTACATATGCATATCCCTATTTTAGACAGATTTCTTTCTTATTCCATATTGTGCAATTGCCATCGGCTTTCGACTTTGCAACTCTGTCAATTAATTTATATACTGTATGGTTTAGATACTTTAGGTATACTTTTTTAAAATTTAGGAATTAAAAAAAAAAATGTAAAAATTTAGGAACAATTAAAAAAATGTAAAAATGTAAATATTTAATAAAAATTAAAAAACAACCAAAAAAATGTTTTTATTGCTTATTGACAATAGCTGACTGATACGAAAAATTGCAACTGCTCGCTGAAAAAAGCTGACTGATAAGAAACAAATACTGACAAAAGCTGACTGCTATAAAAAATTGTAAATGCTCTCTGACAAAAGCTGACTGATATGAAACGGGAAAAAATCCTAATTGCTCGCTGACAAAAGCTGACTGATATGAAACGAAAATTCCTAATTGCTGGCTGACAAGAGCTGACTGATATGAAACTAATTGAAAATGTTCGCTGTCAAAAGCTGACTGATATGAGAGTAAAAAAATTGTAAATGCTCTGTGACAAAAGCTGACTGATATGAAACGAAATATCCCAATTGCTCGCTGACAAAAGCTGACTGATATGAAACCATATTCCTAATTGCTCGCTGACAAAAGCTGACCGATATGAAACAAAAAAATTATATCTTCTCGCTGACAAAAGCTGACTGATATGAAACGAAAAATATTGTGAATGCTCGCTGACAAAAGCTGATTGATTTGAAACGAAAATTCCTACTTGCTCGCTGACAATAGCTGACTGATATGATACTAATTGAAAATGTTCGCTGACAAAAGCTGACTGATATGAAACGAAATATCCCAATTGCTCGCTGACAAAAGCTGACTGATATGAAACGAAAATCCCAATTGCTCGCTGACAAAAGCTGACTGATATGAAAAAATTTTAAATGTTCGCTGACAAAAGCATACTTGCTTGCTGTCCGTCGGCTCGTGTCACGTCATGAGCCGAACGCGGTCAATCCCAGAGCCGAACGCGATCGGCCCCAGAGCCGAAGACCTGGGAACGTACGCTGAAAACTTAGCTGCGCCACTTTCCTTGTATGAACTGGTACATCTACATATATACTGTGTGGTTAGTGGTGAAAGAGAGATATGTTGCCCCCTATTTACTATATTCCATCGCCAAAGAAATGAGTGGCAGTGCTGCCAGATCAATAAAACTTGTTAAATGATATTCAAATATTTATTTACTAATATTTTAAACTGTAAAGCCTTTGGTACATTTTCCCCACTAATAGCCAAACTCCCGCGATCCATCCACGAACTGGATGACGCCATAATTGCCAGAGATCATCCAGTGAGGATCCTTTCTGCTCAGAGTCTCACTAACACCCTCGGCCAGCCCGCAGATGACCTCCTCCTTGATCCTGCGAACAGCGCACATATTGCTGGGCAGGAAACCACGCAGGCATGTGTTCATATCCTGGGTGGAGTCCCAGCAAACATCTTGCAGGAGTTTGCGATAGTTAAGGTCGCCCTTGAAAACGATTAGCTTGGACTGCTGCAGAGAGCTGTATAGATCAGGATCTGTATCGCGCATTCTGGAAAGGAAATAAACGAAAGTTAGTGGGAGGTCTTCAAATCCACACGACTGTTTTGCACCTGTAATATGCGTAGGGAGAAGTCCAGAAATGTGAGATTGGAGCTAATTCAAACTTTCCTTCTTCCAGGAACTGCAAAAACTTTTTGCCAATTAAGCTGATGATGTAATCTGAATGCTGACTTAAGTATTCCAGCGTCCATTGGAAATCTCGCGCCGTAACGTCAGTCACGAACCAGGGATGTGCCTTCACATGAAAGCACACCTTGGTAGCCAGTCCCTTCTCAATCATAAACTCTGCCAAGATGAAGTCGGTAAACAGCTCATAGCCGGCGTTATCCAGGATAAAATCAACTTGGCTTAGCTTATTTTTCTTCCGGTTGTCCAAGCACTGCCAAATCTCCGCGGCTTGGTTAGCAAGTATGTATCCATCTGCAGCGCCGACATTTTCCAGCACATTTTTATTGAATGGCGAAGGTGCCGGAGCCAGTGCCGTTGCCTCCGGATCTCTGGACGTGTCGTTCCAGTTGCTCCACAAGTTAATCCTTAGCAGCTCCCCAAACATTTCCAGGCTGTTGTCTGTGCGCCGCGTGTACTTGGTGAGGGAGAGTACATCATCCATGCAGCTCGTCAACGAATGCTCCTTGACCTTGGCATGGAAATCAAATGGCTTTAGGAAGATGCTATTCTCCACAAAGGAGTATAGTTTCCTGTGCATATAACACTCGGAATACAGACAACAGGATCTGAAGACGGTGCTCTCCTCATCGGGCAGCAGATTGAGAAACTTATTCCAGAGTGCGCGATCGGGCTCTGCAATAAGGAAGTAATCAACAGGAAGTATGACAACAGCAGGATCAACTACTATAACCCCTGTCTCACCTTCGCCGGCGAATGCCTGAAACGGCTTATCCGTTTGTAGCTCGTACTTCAGCCTGGAGATGAGGCCAATGATGATTTTTAGTTCCTCGCGGGCGGCCTGTTCAAAATCGATGGAGCTAGTGATTAAGTTGGTGTAAGCGCTCGTATCCTATTACAAACCTCACTGAATTTTTCAACCAGTTCGCTCTTATCCTTGGTCAGGGTGTCTATCACATTCGTCAAAATCACGGGAAGCCGATTCCTCAGAGTATTGTATGCACCGCTCCGCTTATACTGCCCAGACATGAAGGCATTCAGCGGCGTTCGCATGTCGTATATCTTATATTTGGCATCGAATTCTGTTTTGAAGACTCGGGGCACTATATGACTAGCATCTGTTGGTTCCGACTGGGACTTTGTCTTCGGCTCATCCTCGGTTGGCGACCCAGCGAACCCTTCCAGCGAAGGCGACTCCATGATGACTCTAGTGTTGCTCTACAGAAAATTTTTTGTGCGACCACAGCATTATTTTTTTTGATAAAAATTCCAAAAAAAAACCAATAAACAAGCTTAGTGTTAACTAATACATTATTTCGATCAGTGTTGGTAAATGCCATGATTGTCTTTGGCGATAGCCGTTTTTAGTGCCATTTCGACCAACATTGCATTGACTTGTTTTGTTTGAACCCTATTATCTAAACAATCCCATTAAAAATAGTTCTAAAAACTAGCCAATCCTAAAGAAAATTCATTGAGGAGTCGGATAAAATTATTTTTTTAGGGCTGAGAGGGCCAACTATCTAGTAATATTAAACTGCATATCAAAATTGACGAACATATCCAAATATCGGGGCACGATTGCACGGTCGGCCCCCCCCCTGTTGTTTGAACCAATATGTAAATACCAATAAAAGGACTTGGAACGATATATGAATTAAAAATATTTGTTTGTCCCTACGAATTTAAAGAATATCATTACGGCAATATCAACGTTGAATGTCTCGAAAAAACAACCGATACTATCGTGATAGTTCGGGCTCAAATAATTATTAAAAAACCATTGAAACCTTTTAGGAACTTGTCTATTGTAAAATTTAGATGCCACCTTTCGATTTGTTTACAAATGTGTCTTCGTATTTTATAGCAGCCAATCCAAACATATCAAAAGCGCAACGACTGTAGCTCGATACTATCATGATAGTCGCAAAACCATCGATAGTAGCGGCTAGCAGTAAAATATCGATACTACAGATAGTGCCATCGAGGGTTTGACACCTACATATACGCGAACCGCCTGATCTGATCGATGTGCGCGACAAAACGTTTCGGGAAAGCCTTTAAAAAAGGCAACGCTTGACAAACCACAACAAATGCATACGAAGTAAATCTGTAGCACAGCAGCAGCGCAGCGCCCACCCACCCAGCGACACACACCACACCACACTCAGAGACTCAGACGAACAACGAGATAGGGAGCGCCACTCGCACGCCACAGCACACTCACGCCCACAGAGACAGGGCGATGTCACACCTACCTTTGCCACTGTACGGCTTCGCAGCGTTTTTCATGATTTTCTGGTTTGGCACCTGGATGGTCCATCTGATAGCCATTTGCTACGGGAAGTACAAGCTGCACAAGAAGTCGTGCAAGTTGCCGTCAGAGTCATCGCCACTTCCGGGTGTCTCCATCCTCAAGCCGCTGATGGGCGTGGATCCGAACTTGCTTCACAACCTGGAGACCTTCTTCACAATGGACTATCCTGTGTACGAGCTGCTATTCTGTGTGGAGGACAAGGACGATCCGGCCATAAAGCTGGTCGAGGGGCTGCTGGATAAGTATCCCCGGATAGATGCCCGGCTCTTTGTGGGTGGCTCTGATGTGGGCGTCAATCCGAAAATCAACAACATCCATCCCGGCTACATGGCGGCGAAGTTCGATTTCGTTATGATCTCCGACAGCGGCATCAAAATGAAGAACGACACGCTGCTTGACATGGTCCAGAACATGTCTGAGAAGCACGCCCTGGTCCATCAGATGCCATTCACCTGCGACCGGGAGGGATTTGCGGCCATCTTCGAGAAGGTGTTCTTTGGCACCGTCCAGAGCCGGATCTACCTATCGGCCGATGTTCTCGGCATCAACTGTCACACGGGTATGTCGTGTCTGCTTCGGAAGGCAGTAATTGACCAGCTAGGCGGCCTCAGGGCCTTCGGCTGCTACCTTGCGGAGGACTTTTTCATCGCCAAAGGTGTGACGAAGCTGGGATGGAAAATGAGAATCTCCAATCAGCCAGCTCTGCAGAACAGCGGACTGTGCGACATCGGCAGCTTTCAGGCCCGGCTCATTCGATGGGCGAAGCTGCGCGTGGCCATGGTGCCCACGACCATCCTGCTGGAGCCGCTCTCCGAGTGCATGATCCTTGGAGCCTTCGCGGCCTGGTCAGCCTCGGTTCTGTTCAACTGGGACCCCCTGGTGTTCTACTTGGTGCACATACTCTTTTGGCTCCTTTCGGACTGGCTGCTGCTCTCCATAGTCCAGCACGGCTCGATGCCGTTCCACAAGTTCGAGTTCGTCATTGGCTGGCTGTTCAGGGAGCTGACGGGGCCCTATCTGTTCCTGCACGCGCTCTGGGACCCTGCGATACGTTGGCGGACCCGCACCTTCAAGCTCCATTGGGGCGGCATGGCCTACGAGTTGAACACACCCGCCGACTGTCCAACGGCACCGCTGCAGCCACAGCCGGCGCCGACGTTACCAACGGGGTCAGCGGTGGCGGAGGTCACGCCAGCGGCCACATTCTGTACAGGAGCGAAGCACCGTCTGCTGGTGTCGTAGCAGCAACTAGTTAAGTTAATTATGTTGTACTTTTGAGTAACTCAGCGGACTGCAAACGTAGACGGGAGACGGAGCTGGTGACTGGTGACGTCTGGTAGTAGTATTATTAGCTAAACCCTTAGTCACTACGTAAGCATAGACTTAATGCTGTAAAAAGAACAGACTCCACTCTCATGCATAGGCATAGCGCACACCCAAACCCACCCACACCCAAACCCATATCCAAATGTCCAGCTTTAAGGGAATTCAGTTAACTGCTGCGTTCATACTATAGTCTTTGACGTGCAGCGTGGCATGCCAGCGCTGATTCGATTAGATTAGATTAGAGCCAGAGGCATTGGTTCGACTCAACCGAGTGACGTCGCCTTGTGGTTCCCAGATCACATCAATCTAGGGCCTTGCAGCCGAGCTTTTGGCACAGTTTGGTGGCTTCGCGCAAACTGGTTAACGATGATTTCTACCTCTTACGACATAAATTGTTGCTTTGTACATACATATATACAAATATGTATATGAAGGTATATATAGTTGTAGCCAACATTTACACCCCTAGTCTGTACGGACATTTTGCGATCGCGAATAATACTCGTTGCGAACCCTAGTTGTAGTTAGCAGACGTTTATAATTATTTTTTCTGCTTCTGTTGTTGCTTTTTCGTATCGTAATTATTGATTATTTTGTAGTGCTAAGCCCACCCTAGATATGATTTATATAGTTCATACATTTATAGTCTTATTAGTTGCGTTTTTTTTTGTTTGTTTGTTTGCCGCAGCTTCTGTACATAAATAAGCTCCGATAAAGAATGCCATTGAATAAATCCAATTTACATGATCGTGCCCATTCTAACTCCATTACCGTTGTGATTGATGTTTGCTCGCTGATATCATTATTTCATTTGAGGCTTAGCATAAATAGATCACTCTTATCAGCACACTAGCATGACTCAGACAGTGTCAGGGCCCTCAGCGCCTCAGGGCGCTGCTCAAAATACTTGGCAATGTGGGAAAATCGGAGCTGAGTCACGCCACCGCAACACTCACTTATTTGCCATAATTACTCGTAAGAGTAACGTCGCACACTTGAAGCGATCGCCTCTGCTCCGTTCTAATGCGGGTCTTCAGAATTGATCTGGCACACTTGTTGGAATTATGTTTTTGGGGTGTGTGGGGTGGAGCTAGGGGTCAGACTGGACATTAGTATTACGCATGGCTGAGAGACCAAACTGATGGAACCTATCAAAAGTATTGCTTGATGGCTGATTGTTCTTTAGGAATATTCCTTGTTCTTTCACCAGAGTCTCTTATCGTATTGAACTTAAAGCCAGTATAAAAACAAAAACATATTTATGAATTGCGGGTCTACAGATTAGAGTTGGCATATCAGTAGCACAGCACGGCGGAGAGGAGAGCAGTCGAGAGATCGAGAACGAATCACTCGATTCACTCACTCCCCCGGTGACGCCTTAAGTCTATATGTAAATTAAGTAAAAAATTAATAGGAAACGTATATGAATATATGAGTAGCTATTAGCTTTACGGCAGTACTGATGCCATTGCTGAGGCCAGTTAGAAGCGCCGGCTTGCTATTTTGTGAACACTCTGCGGTGCCCAAAAATGGTTAGAAAGCAATTAAATCCAAATGAAGAACAATAGATGGAGATCGAATGGAACTTCCGAAATGGAACACGTTCCTCGGATCGTTGCAGGTTATTATGCGAATTCCGCTTTAATGTCCGGGGCTCTTATCAAACCTCTTTGCTGGGTCCCTCAAGTTTAACTTAAATTAGCGCCAATTACTTATTAGTTGGTTGATTAGATTATGTAAAGGTTCGAAAGCCTTCGCCTATATCTAGCTGCGATTAATGTCGACTATTGTTTGGTTTGCTGATGCGCAAAGTCGAATTACTTCACCAGCTGATAAGAAAGTGAAATGTACTATTTTTTAAAACTATTTGTAACTAAGGCTAACGCTAGTCAAAGCAAAGGTAACTATACCAAATAAATAGGAAATGGCAAAAATAGAACAACATGACCAACATAACACAACCTCAATTCATTCTTCATCCAGCATTGTTTACATTCTGGAATTACGCTCTGACAATGTATACACTTTAATTAACCTTGTCGTGCGCGATAAGGCATGAATCATCTGATTCATACGGTGATGCGTTCTCTGCCCGCGGATCGTCCCCTTTGTGATTTACAATTTTTAGCTCTATACCACTCAAAATGGCGACATTGGACGCACTTCCAATCACCATACCCGCGAACTATCTAATCAATGTTTGAGAATTTATGAAAAATTACGGCAAGGCAAGCGTTGGATGAGCTATTGGCTCCGAGGTGTGTCGGAGAAATCCCAGTGGAACACTCATTCACGCACAGACTACGAAAGCGAAGGTGGTTTTTTATCGTATTAAGATATCATTCAGCAAAAATTCTTCACCAGAAGCAGTGTGTAAGGTTCGGCTCGCTGGCAAAAATCGTCTGCAATTGCTCTTGAACTTGAGATTGTTTGGCACCCTTTTTGAAAAACTGCGCCCATTCAAATCAGTGCTGCCAGATTTCAGAGTCGATACATCATGGTATGTTCGGCAATAAGGTGGATTTTACCTTGAATGCGTTGAATTTTCAGGGCCGTTTTGCATGTTGTCCATACCTTCTTTTTTCTCAACAGTTTTAAAAGCTGTGTTAGTTACCTTATTTGATTAAACTTCATTTTATAAGTAATCCACTAAAATTAAGTCCTAAATATTAGCCAACCTTGTAGAGTATTGATTCACTACTCGGATAAAATTATATGTTCAGTGGTGAGAGTCCTAACTAGCTACTAATCTTAAATCGAATATCAAAATTGATTAATATGATTTTCCTTGGTATATTTACGGTATATTATGAATATGAGAAGGTATTTAGGGTATATTTTTAACTTTTTTCGATAAATCCACTGCAAAGCTCCAAATTCGCAATATAAATAACTTTCAACTTTTTAAAAAAGGTATACAAAATAGTGCAAGTGCCTAAAAACCTTAACTAAAGGCTCATGTACCATGGAAATGTCCGTGGAAACGTAGGATGAGTTGGGAAAGTGCGAATCTTGTGTTATTTCCAGAGCAAAAAACTTCCCATCCCACGGTTTTGTTGTATGTGAAAAATCTATACAATGCATTGCAATGAAAAGTGTGTCTGAAAAGTGTTTATCAGAGGCACGCACACATAGAAACGTGAGAGTGATGATAGAGTGAGAGAGAGAACGTAGAACACACAGCTGTTGGGGCCGGCAGAAAAGTGTGTTTGTGTGGGAGTGAACTTGACTGAGTGGGAGGAAGGCAGAAATATTGGAAATTTGTTGCAAAAATTTTCTCGTTTCGGTTTGTTTATGCTTAAAAGTTGTCTATTGATGTTTAGCAGGCCTCCTCGTGGCTTATATTAATTCTTTAACGACCCGAAAAATGAAAATGAATTTTCAATTTTGGAACGATGTTGTCGATACCCTTGGCACACCATGTCATAGGTCAATTAATTAATTAAAAATGTTAAACAGTTGCACATACAGATTACAATTGATTTAAATGCTAATTTCACACAGACGTGCAAACATTGCCCAGCAAACGTGTCGAGAGTGCTTAAATGCTCGAGCAATGGGTATGGACAAGTAAAGTACACCCACAATTAAATTTTTCCATTTACTCTTGCAGATGTCTTAGCCAAGTGAGGTTGGAAGAGCCAGAGCAACTAGAATCATTCCGTGAAAAGGATTACATAGATAACTCCAGACACAGAGACAGACATACAGACAAAGAGCCATGGCCATGTCAAAGGTGATTCGCGTGCTGGAGAAGTCCATAGCTCCGTCGCCGCACAGTGTGCTGCTGGAGCACCGCCATAAGAGCGACAGCATCCTGTTCGAGTCGCACGCTGTGGCACTGCTAACGCAACAGGAAACGGACGTGATAAGAAAGCAATACACGAAAGTCTGCGACGCCTACGGATGCTTGGGGGCCCTGCAGTTGAATGCTGGCGAGAGCACCGTGCTGTTCCTGGTGCTGGTGACTGGATGCGTGTCCATGGGGAAGATCGGAGATGTGGAGATCTTTCGAATTACGCAGACGACCTTCGTGTCGCTGCAGAATGCAACCCCAAACGAGGACAAAATAAGCGAGGTGCGCAAGCTGCTCAATTCCGGAACTTTCTACTTTGCACACATCAATACCAGCGCCAGTGCGGCGGCTGGCACTTCCGGATCTGGGTTCAGCAAGTTTGACATCACACTGTGCGCCCAGCGGCGGCAGCAGACCTCGGAGACGGACAATCGCTTCTTCTGGAACCGCATGATGCACATTCACCTGATGCGCTTCGGCATTGATTGCCAGTCGTGGCTGCTCCAGGCCATGTGTGGCTCCGTGGAGATTCGCACTGTCTACGTGGGGGCCAAGAATGCCCGGGCAGCCATCATATCCAGGCTGAGCTGTGAGCGGGCCGGCACCCGGTTCAATGTGCGCGGCACCAACGACGAGGGCTATGTGGCCAACTTTGTGGAGACGGAGCAGGTGATCTATGTGGATGGGGAGGTTACTAGCCATATCCAAACCAGGGGCTCAGTGCCGCTCTTCTGGGAGCAGCCGGGTGTGCAGGTGGGATCGCACAAAGTCAAGCTATCTAGAGGTTTCGAGACCTCTGCTGCCGCCTTCGATCGGCATATGAGCATGATGAGGCAACGCTATGGCTATCAGACGATTGTGAATCTCCTTGGCAGCTCTCTCATCGGCAGCAAAGAAGGCGAGGCCATGCTGAGCAATGAGTTCCAGCGGCACCACGGCATGTCCGCCCACAAGGATGTTCCCCACGTGATATTCGACTATCACCAGGAGTGTCGCGGCGGCAACTTCACCGCTTTGGCCAAGCTAAAGGAACGAATCGTGGCCTGTGGGGCCAACTACGGCGTCTTCCATGCAGTCAATGGAGAGGTCATCCGGGAGCAGTTCGGAGTTGTGCGCACCAATTGCCTGGACTGTTTGGATCGCACGAACTGTGTGCAGACCTACCTGGGCCTGGACGTGCTCAACCTGCAGCTGGAGTCGATGAAGATGGGTGGCAAGCAGCAGAATATCTCTCGGTTCGAGGAGATCTTCCGCCAGATGTGGATCAACAATGGCAACGAGGTGAGCAAGATCTACGCCGGTACAGGAGCCATTCAGGGCGGTTCCAAGCTGATGGACGGCGCCCGCTCGGCGGCCCGGACCATACAGAACAACCTTTTGGACAACTCGAAGCAGGTAAATGTCTTCCACAAACTAGAAAATAAGCGACTTACAGCCACCGTAAATCATTACAGGAAGCAATTGACGTTCTCCTGGTGGGCTCGACGCTCAGCTCGGAACTGGCCGATCGGGCACGGATCCTGCTGCCCTCCAACATGCTGCATGCCCCCACAACGGTGCTCAGGGAGCTGTGCAAGCGCTACACGGAGTACGTGCACCCGCGCATGTTGCGCGTCGCCGTCGGCACTTACAACGTGAATGGCGGAAAGCATTTCCGCAGCATTGTCTTCAAGGATTCCCTGGCGGACTGGCTGCTAGACTGCCACGCCATGGCCCGATCCAAAGCCCTTGTGGATGTGAACAATCCCTCTGAGCATGTCGATCATCCAGTGGACATTTATGCAATTGGCTTCGAGGAGATCGTGGACCTAAATGCCTCTAACATCATGGCGGCCAGCACGGACAACGCCAAGCAGTGGGCCGAGGAGCTGCAGAAGACCATCTCCCGGGACAACGACTATGTGCTGCTCACCTACCAGCAGCTGGTGGGCGTCTGCCTTTACATATACATACGTCCGGAGCATGCTCCCAACATCCGGGACGTGGCTATTGATTGTGTAAAGACGGGCCTTGGCGGGGCCACAGGAAACAAGGGCGCCTGCGCCATCAGATTCGTTCTGCACGGCACCTCAATGTGCTTTGTGTGCGCCCACTTTGCGGCCGGCCAGTCGCAGGTGGCGGAGAGGAACGCCGACTACTCCGAGATTACCAGGAAGCTGGCCTTTCCCATGGGCAGGACCTTGAAGTCGCACGATTGGGTGTTCTGGTGCGGAGACTTCAACTACCGCATCGACATGGAGAAGGATGAGCTGAAGGAGTGTGTGCGCACCGGCGATCTCTCCACGGTCCTCGAGTTCGACCAGTTGCGGAAGGAGCAAGAAGCGGGCAACGTTTTCTCCGAGTTCCTGGAGGGGGAGATTGGCTTCGATCCGACCTACAAGTACGATCTCTTCAGCGACGACTACGACACGTCGGAGAAGCAGAGGGCGCCAGCCTGGACGGACAGGTGTCTCTGGCGGCGAAGGAAGGCTCTGGCCGAGGGCGACTTTCCCTCCTGGAATCCTGGCAAACTCATCCACTACGGACGCTCCGAGCTGAAGCAGAGTGACCATCGACCCGTCATCGCCATTATTGACGCGGAAATTATGGAAATCGATCTGCAGCGTCGCCGGGCCGTGTTCGAGCAGGTCATCAGGGATCTGGGACCCCCAGACTCCACCATTGTGGTGCATGTCATGGAATCTTCGGTGGACGACGAGGGGCCCACCATCTATGACGAGAGCGTGATGTCTGCTCTGATTGCCGAGCTGTCGAAGATGGGCGAGGTGACCCTCGTGCGCTATGTGGAGGACACCATGTGGGTGACCTTTCGAGACGGAGAGTCTGCACTAAACGCGGCCGCCAAACGGAGCACACAAGTCTGCGGCCTGGAGCTGGTCTTCGAGCTTAAGTCCTCTGACTGGCAGCACCTGGTGGACAGCGAGATCGAGCTCTGTACCACAAACACCATTCCGCTGTGTGCTAATCCCACAGAGCAGGCCCAGCTGCTGCAGGTGTCGCCGGAGGTTCCTCAGCGGCCCAAGCAGCCGCCGACGCGTCCTCCCGCTCGTCCGCCCATGCCCATGTCGCCAAAGAACTCGCCACGTCACATCCCCCATGTCGGAGTCATCAGCATTGTGCCCAAGCCGGCCAAGCCACCGATGCCCCCCCAGCCCCTGATGCAGGCGCCCCTCCAGCCGATGCAAGCGCCCCCTCGACCGCCTGCCATGGACAACACTCCCTCCTCCAAGACGCAATCTCCCACAGAGCTCGCCTCCGTCGGCTCATCGGGCTCATCTTCGGGCAAGGCATCGCCCACGGGCTCAGCTGTGGCTTCTGGTCCGCCCACTCCTCCGCGTCAGATGCAAAGCAAGCAAGCCACGCCAGTCGCTACGCCCACAAGGCAGGGGGCGCCCCCCTCTTCAGCCGCCACCCCATCCTCCAAGCAGCCATCGCTGGAGATGCCGGACACCGCCTACGAGACGGCTAGCAATATATACGAGGAGATCCAAGACGACGTGCCTGCACCACGCCACCCGCCCCCGGCTGGTCCGCCTCCAGTCATTGGCGGCGGCGCTGTGGACAGTCCACGACGCCAAGCAGGGCCAGCTGGGGCCCCAATGGGTCCCCCGCCACCGCTTCCGAATCGAGGACGTGGTCCGCCACCGATACCAAATAGAAGCGGCAATGCACCGCCGCTGCCAACGCGACCCACTAACAACTAGGCGGAATAGGCCCAAGGGGTGAGTACGAAACTGGTGCTCCTTATACTCCCGATCCTCTTATCAGTGTTCTTTTTACCCCACAGCTCGCCGTCGTACATTCCGAATTGCTGTATTTAATGTTGGAAACGCATACCGAAATATAATCGAATATATTAACAAACTTGTATAGAGAGAGCGCGAGGACACCACATCAAAATGCATACATAGATGAATCTCTGCCTGCACACCACCTACTTATGTTATGTGCTTATTTCGAGATGGCCTCTAGCCGGAATCAAAACTAAACGTAACTTAATTATGTACCCGTAGAACGTTGCATTGTTAGCCCTTTCCTTTTGTTGGATGAGAATATCACTTTTTATACTTGTTTACCGCTGGCCAGACGTACTCACCCCTAAGCACCAATACACCAAGGATCGCAAGGAACAAAGCCTGAGATACTTAAATGGAATTACTCAGCATAAAGTTATTGTTTAAATCAACTATATTATAGCCTATAGCCGTACTAGTCAATTTATGAAATTATACGAGTAGCACTGTTGGGCAGCAGAAGTCGTTCCACGATCGACGATGCCACGAATGATGATACATATATATCGTACCTATTTATTCCTCACTCGAAAGCTGCTGTTCACTAACATGTTGATTAATTATACATAGCTCAGATCGCGAATGGAACTTCCATCGCGTTTGCAATTGCTCTGTTCAAATGTTGAAGTTACGCATAAGATTTATCCCCGATCGAATGGCAAGACCATGAGCATACAAATATACTATTAAATAAATTATGTACAATATAATCTACATCTTGGTCAGGTTTATTGCAGCCAAGGCATCAAACAAACACAACGCAAATAGAAACATAAACTTAACACTTCCGTGACTAGTGGCCAGTGACCAGTGACCATTCCTGCATGCCCAGCTAGAACCACTTGGGCATCGCATCGTTAGGCAGATTCTTGTGATTGGGCAGGGCCGTGCAGGGGCGCTGCTGTCGCCAGAACTCCTGCCGCTTGTTGAGGAACTCGACCGCCTCCTTGGCAAAGGTGGATATGTTCTCCGTGTTGGTGTCGGCGCGTACCAGGTCTGGATGCAGCAACAGCTTCTCCAGGTACTCCTTGTCCACGCACAGCTCGCCAAGCAGCTTCCGGGCATTGCGTCGCTCCAGGTCCGCCTTAGTGGGCTTCTGACGCGTCATCTGCGGACGGGGGCTGTTCAGCGTCTGCGACTTTGACATATTGTCGTCGGACTTGCGCGGCTTGCCGCTTTTTGGGGCAGACGGCGGTGCACGCGGCTTGGTGCCGATGGTGTTCTCGATGGCCTCTTGAGTCTTTTGCACGCCCAGGCGGAAGGATGCCAGCTCGGGGCGTGCGCGTAGTCCGCGGTGGAAAAACATGAGGCTCTGCTCGAACTGGCCCAAGTAGTAGAGGGACTCGGCCTTCTGGTATATGGCCCGTATATTGTTTTTGTCCTCTCCCAGGGCCGTCTCCGCGTCCTGCAGTGCCTTGGAGGCCTCGCCCAGCAGCAGATAGCACTTGCTGCGCGATATCAAGGCATTGATGTCCGTGCTGTTCAGCTCCAGAGCCTGAAAAACAGAGAGATCGACCATTAGAAACGGCAAACCAGAAATAGGAAAGCGGAGTGGCAGTGGCAATGGAAGTATCAAGGGAGGACCTTGCAGAAGAAGTGGATGGCATTCTCGGGATTGGCATTCTTGATCTCCTTGAGCCCCAGAGCTATGACCGAGCTAATGTCTGCCTCATCAGGTATGAGTAGCGCCTCGTTGCGGTCCTGCTTCTGTTTTATCTGCAGACTCTGCTTGATATCAAAGGCCCCAGCGCTGACGGCAGCCGCTCGATCCTTATCCGTGTAGAAGTCTACGAAATTCTCCTTGGGCTTCTTCTTCTTGGCGATCTGCTCCTCGATGCGTTTGCGGGCCGCCCGCAGTTCGGCTTCGATGCGGTTGCCACGCTTGCCCCCGGCACCGTCACCACCGTCTTCCGTCTGCTTGCCTCGCCCCCCGCCATACGAATCACGGCGATCCCGGGGCTGCTTATAGGAGCTGCGACGATTGCGACCCTTTGACTTTTTGTTTGACTCGTCCAAGGACTCCTCGTCTGCATTGGCGCCCGTTCGGATGAAGCTCTGCAGCAACTCCTGTTCCTTGTCCACGGCGAGGATGTTGTGCAGCACGTTCGACATTTCCACACAGCTTCTCCCAGTAGTTGCCCCAAAAGTTGGCGTGAAAATCTAACACCTTCGCTCTGACAGCGCCAAACAAACGGTAATTGATTCGCCCGATGGGCTGTTGCCAGGAAACTGGCGCCTCTGATGGGTTAACAATCGATTCGAAATAATAATCACACGTGCTCAGGTGAAAGGAGGCGGATGCCAGGTGCCAGTTGGAAGGTGGTGCCAGGTCGTCATGTCATTGAGGTGCTGAATTTGAACTTTGGCCTAGAGGTGGCATATGGCCTTGGTGGCCTCCACTTTCTGTGTAGGCAGAGGTTGTTGTAACGAGTCGATGTTATTATAATTTTTTGTTGCAACAATTTGTACATTTTTACAACAAAACCAGATTCTACTAAGTGTCAGAGCAGCCAGCTTCACTAGCACGCAGCTTTAATAGTTTCGTAGAGACCAGCTTATGTGAGGCTGCAGCAAGCTTATATTACAAGCAAAAGCTTTATTGGTGTTGTGTATAATTCATGTAGAAATCATGTAGAAAGTGATTTTAAAAATAATAATTTAAACAAAGGTACACATTTAAAAAATTAGTGCTATAGAACAAAAAATAATAAAATCAAATCATTTAATCATACAATCATTTAATCGTTCGACGGTATCGTAGTCGGCACAGTAAATTCTTAATCCTTATTCTCTAAAGACTTACCTGATTGTAGCCGAACAACGCCTTGTCGTATTCTCGAACTTTCATGTGATTATTTGACTGATCACAGAGCAGCTTGATGCTGGTCTCAATCTCCTCGATGGTGTCCACCTTCTGCTTCTTGCGCGGCATTCTGCTTGGTTCAGTATGATCCTGGTGGATGGTCAACTCTCAGTACACAGCATAATCCTTGGACCCGAAAAACAGTCGTACTAAACTGAATAACCGTTCAGTTAATTTTCCGACACATACATATGTATATCCACTCCGTCCTATCCGGCGGACGTCCGTTCTTAGCACTCGTCGCTGGCAAACTGAGTTGTTCACCTTCGCCTCATATTTGCCTGGCCTGTGGCTTGTCTCTGGCCTGGCTCCTCCTGCTCTGCCTTCAGCTCCTTCCCCCTTTTCCTGATAGTTGTGGCAGCCTTTGGGGCTCTCCTTTGCTTTGTATGTCAGTTTGCATGTGCTGACAAGCCGCAATAAACTTCAATAAAGTTACATTATTAATATCTCAGCGAAACCCGTGTTCTAGGCGTGAGACGAGCGGTGCAGCGGGCGGATTTACACGCACTTAATTGAAATCATTGAAATTAAAGCCCGATCCGCGGATAGCTTTAACCAGTTGAGGCAGAGGAGTCACGCACAGTCGGTGCCGTGCAGCAAAACGCCAAATGAGTTTTGAATGGGAGCCTGCCCCAAACAAATCCAATTAGAAACCAACCAGCTGATAAGAGTGGGGCCCCAAAGCCGAAGCCTCGACCTGGCCAATCAATATGCAGCAGGAAGAAGGGTGGCGAACCATGGGGCTGGCTAGCTCTATCTCTGTCCCTGTTTCTGTCGCTGCTTCTGCCACGGCATTCACTTGTTAAGAACATTCATTTCGACATATTTATGAAACCAAGCAAATTGCCATTAATTTTCTTGTATGGTTTTTAGAGTAAATAAATAAGTCTGATGTCGGAGCAGGTCGAGTCGGGCCTTGCGTGCTCCTGCCTCATTTCGACTGTGGCAGCAACCTTCGCGGTGGCGTGGCAAAACAATTTCATTTGCCCGCCCCCCAATGAAGACGAGAAAGCCTTAATGCCCGAGACATTTTGTGGCCTATCCCTAAAACCAGCCCCTGCCCCAAACTGACTGATTGCCGTTCCGGTTACGACGTTGCAGACATGACGTTAGAAATTATGATATTTGCATTTGTTCAAGTTGCCCCCGAAGTTATCCTTGTGGATGTCGCCGGAATGGGTTGGGCCAACGAGTCGCGTTCGGGGTCCATGTGTATGTCGGGTTGTCCTTAACACCGTTGCGTTTACGACAACTCCAATTCTTATGGTAATCGTATCAATTGATGCCCGTGGATCAGGCCTTACCTGTTGAATGAAATTGAATCAAAAATGAACACCCCATTCTTGGCGCAATTAAGTTTAAAATTTATTTGATCTACATTTTATACTGCGAAATTTTTGAATACTGCAATTTTGTCATACATCGGCAAGCCTTTTTTCTAAGGGCGATGGAGATAGGTAACCAGAATATAGCCAAACGTTTGAACGATTCTAACTTTTTTTGTCGGGATTGGGGCGTTGGGAAATTTTTAATATTTTGCCATCACATCTCTTTGTAGTACCTGCACACCCTGTATAAGCATATGAGTTGCACAACTGAAACCAACAGAAACATGGTATCTATATAAATCTGCCTGATCCAATGCCAATGTGACACTTACTTGGTAAAATAATCGAGCCAATACAAACCCATGGCAAAACATGGCTCATGCCTTTCCCGAATGAAAACAAAATTTTGATGTTCTGCGAAGTGAAATCAATGAGATCAGGAAATCTGAAATTCTAAGAACTTTGACTTACCAAGAACAATCCCAAAAGTATGAATATCCCAGACAACAAGTGTACTATAACACATATAAGTATTACAACATAGACACAAACTGTCGTTTCGCTTCTAAATTCCTGGCCATATTTTTCTCTCACTGTAAATAAATACATAAATTACACTAGTCAACACGATTTTTCCTCAAGGAACAAAACGAACTTTTTCTTAAAGATTTGGGGCTTAGACATGGTTTGATGATATTTTTTTTTTTCTATGGCAGAACTTTTTTTGAAGAATTTTTGAAAACTGGTATTTTTTTTAAATTTTTTCAGAGGTAGCGCTTGTTTTTTCACATAGCTCAGTATCTTACGTCTGGTTGTAAAGAACTTTGCTTTTTGAAAAGATAATTAAAACAGCTAGAAGTTAAGCCCAAACACTTTGTGATTACAGCTTACCGTCTGGGAAATACATGAAAAGCGATTTGAAAGCACCCCCCCCCGGCTGCCAATGGGAACAAAGCAAACGAAAAAGGGTTGTACGTTAGGCTGATCGCGATCCCAATTCCCAATGGGCAGTTGAGCTCGCAACCTTCCAAAAGGTATTTTTTGTTCATTTTTTCATATTTTAGGTTTGGTTAACGAATTTTAGCTCCAAAGTCTCTCCATAGATTTTAATGAGCGATACCTTGAACGACGCCAAATTAACCCACCTATACACAAAAAAATAGAGGGCACAAGATATAATTTTTTTTCGACTTTTCCTAAGTTTTTAAAGTCAAAATTTCGTAAAAAATACCGCACAAAAATCATAATTTTTGCATTTCAATGTATTATATTTCCCAGACGGTAAGCTGTAATCACAAAGTGTTTGGGCTTAACTTCTAGCTGTTTTAATTATCTTTTCAAAATAGCAAAGTTCTTTACAACCAGACGTAAGATACTAGAGTTATGTGAAAAAAACAAGCGCTACCTCTGAAAAAAGCTTTAAAAAAAAATACCAGACTTCAAAAATTCTTAAAAAAAAGTTCTGCTAGAAAAAAACCATAATTCTTTAAAAAATTTTAAAGCCCCATATCTATCAGAAAAAGTCGGTTTGGATCCTTGAGGAAAAAAAAAGTTCGATTTTGTCGAGTAGTGTTATCAATCGGTTTGCTCGCTTTACACTCAGAGCACCTTCATCAGTCATTACTCACCTGCGGAACCAAGTTCACCAAGATCACCGAAGTCCACTTTCGATACTGGCTTGGACAATTCTTTGTCCAACATCATACTTGTTGACACCATACCGATGAAGCCAATGATTGAGTTCCATATTCCAAAGAATATACACCACGTTTTATCGGGCCAACAATCGAATGACGCGCAATCGCAACACAAACACATTTTAACTTGAAAATTTGAATTTGAAAAATAGAGAAAAAGATTCTTTGGCAAAAAAAAAAATATACAAAAAATTAACTTAAAAATTTAGTTTCCTGTTTGGAATTTATAAATTTTGTAAATTTTTAGATCTGAATTTTTTGTTGACTGACTAGTGGGCTGTAATCTGTTGAATGATGAATTCTAATCCATATTCCTGCACGTATTTCTGAGCGCTTACTATGATATCCAATTGATTGGATTTCAAGCAGCTCAAGGAAAATATATTTGGATATACATATGTATGTGGGTCGAGTTGTCATGGGGTATCTACATTTTTTGCAAGATTATCTCATCTTCGCTACGTAATTTATTTGGTTAAGAAGAGAATAGAGTATGTATTAGTGGTATATTATTTGCCTTAAAACATAAAGAGTAGAGTATATTCTGTTTTGTTTAAATTAGTTTTATACCAGTTTATTTAGCAAATCAAAACCAATTTCTCAGTACATTCAGCGCATTTAAAAAAACTAACAAACTAAACGCTTACAAAGTAGCAAAATAACTTGATGTAAAATTTGACAAAAAGGTACTATGGGTCGAGAGTAGGACAAAACATAGTACTCGTACATATCAAAAGAGTTGCAGTTGCGTTTTTTACAGTGTAGAAAAAGTTGTATTCAGAATAATGTTTAGTTCTTGTTGTCGCTGTTGCTGCTGTGGCTGTGTCTGTGGCTGTTGTTCTCTTTTTTTTTTGTGTGAGTTTCAGTTGGGTTTAGGTTTAGGTTTGGGGGAAGTACGAGTAAATACATATGTATATATGTATGTACCCATGATGATGATGTTCTTCGAGAGCTTCCTTCCCCCTTTGGTGCACGCTCTGTTGTCGCCGTAGTAGTATGTATGTATATGTTTAATTAATTATTTATGCATTACACACAATTACACACACAATTGATTTATGTTGCTAATTATATATACTTGTTTATAGATGTATTATGTATTAGTATTTTTTCGTTCTTATAACTTCTTTTCGCAATGAAAATATGGCATGAGAGCTGGAGAGAATATGGGTTGACTAACAATTAAACAAGTATTGCAGCTAATTTGAGGGCTGAGTCATTAACATTTCCTGCTGGATTGCGTTTCAATTCAATTGTAAACTTAACAATTAATTTTTACTATTGCATGGGGTATTGGATTGGATTGGATTGTGTTGTGTTTCGTACTTCGCACACTTGTATTTTGCTTGCAAAACTAAACAATTGTCATCGACAGCGAACGTAAAAACTAAATAAATGCACTAAAATCAATGCGTAATCCGATTTTGATTCTTAGCCATGGAAGAAGCAGTGGAGTCGAGCGTAGGAGGACTGGCCGAATAACTCTTAAACCCATATGAAATTCTAAATTAATGTACAATCGCTTTCTAGACGTATTATGTCCCTTTATACTTTTCGATTTCGATTTCGTTTTTCATTTTCATTCTCAATTTCAATAAATATTCAAGTTTTTGTGTGTTTTCTAGAAAAAAGTAGAAATAGTTCTCTGAATTTCGTTACTTTTTAGTTTCTTTAGTTGTCAGGAAGGTTCAGAGAGTGTTCGTATTCTGTTTTTGTTTTGCTTCATTTAGTAATTTTCGTTTTTCTCTTTAAGTTCTTTTTTTGTTTTGCATTTTCCTTTTGTATTGTTTTTTGTTTTTGTTTTAGGAATTACACTAATAATTACATAGTTTTGCTTATGTATAACTTAAAAACATTTATTTATGCATCGATTTCCGCTTGTTATGTGCCGTACAATTCGCAATTATAATTATTCCCAACGGATTATTTTTTGTTCTTTTTTCCGTGGTGTGAATTGATGGCGGAAGTGAACATTAAATTTGGGGTTCTTTCAAGTGTGGGTGTATAATTGTTATATATCCAAATCGCTTCCATTATTCAGCTAACATATACTCGTTATTCATAAATGTGTATTCAATATGCGTTTGCGTCTGTCTCTGTCACCATCCACAGAACAAACTGTCCATCGTCCATGCAGTCGCTTATATGCGCCTCTGTTGTGTGGTGTGGCATTGTTATAGGTATTATTTCTCGCTCTCCTCCTGCCTTTGCTCTATATACTCGTAATTCATAATTAATTCGCTTAATTTTGCCCGCCCTTATATTGGTTTCACTATGCATATAATATATATTAATTATATATTAGATTTCGCACGATTTGCGTGCGTTTCCATTCATATTTGATATTGGTTTTCTTTTTGTTTTCGTCGCTTAAAGTTTACTTAATTAGAAAAGTCGCCCTCCTCCGTTATCCGTCCGGCATTAGCTTACAGGTAAGTTTTGAATTTTGTTTGTTTATGTTTTCCTCTTTAATTTCTGCACTTTTTACTTGGTTGTTCATCGTTTAATGCGTTTACCCCCCAACGAAAAATTGTGTGTGATCCGAAGATGTCTTCGATTTCCATTGATTTTGTGTTAGTTTTGTTGCTTTCGCTTTTTCTGTTGCAGATGATTAATCATTGTGTCAGATGGCTGCTGATGTCGCTGCTCCGTCTGCACTTCACACTCCGCACAGTGTATCTAGATGAGCCGTCATCTCCTTCTGCGTTCTGATCCTGATCCCGTTCGAGATGGATCTCCATCCGGGTGGATCCTCACTCATGGCTCACTTAATACCTGCGCGATGTGCCATTATCTCAGGCGTAGAACTCGCGATTGTTCGCATTTTTCGCATAGGAATTGTTGGCCGGCGAGCGCTTGGGCTCGTCGAGGGCATAGGAGCCCTCGTCCTTTTTCCGCATGCGGTACACGATGAACATTACCACGAGAATGGCGCAGAGCAGGCCAACCACGGCACCGCCAATGACAGCTGAAGATACATAACAGAGAGAATATATGTGGTGAGAGATTGTTGGATGGATATGGAGTGGATGAACTCTTACCTGCCAGTATTCCTGGCTGCGAGAAGAAGCTCGACGTGCGATCGTCCTCGCTCATGATGACCACCTCGTTGCCGTTGGGCCTGTGGTCGACGGGCTTCGTGTCGGAGGGCTGGCTGTTCACGTTCGTGTTCGGGTCCAACTCGTGCACGTTGCTGCCGCCTCCCGCTGTGCCAAGAAAATAGAGCAGAAACAGAGAGAGATGAGATTTGAGAGTCAAGTCCGGCGACTACAATTATCCATTTACGAGAATGCCCATGACGTGCAAGCAAAATAATACGAAACAGAGTGTGTGTGTGTGTTTGTGTGTGTAAGAGTGGAGACATAGAGTTGTTGTTGGGCATGAGTACTCCGATTTCCGATCGGATCGAGTGTTTATATCTGTTTCAGTGTGTGTGTTTTTGTGTGTACGTGTGTTAATAATCATTATGCGGTATATACAAGGCTTACGGTTAGTAGAGTTGATTCGGGACTACGATTACGAGTACAAAGGATACCTTATGCCAAACTAAGACTAAGACTTATATGTACCACTAGCCTACGAAGCCTCTATAAACGGGTGGAGTGCACAATTCTCCCATCCGACTGTCTGTCTGGTTGTTTGCCCGCCCGCACAAACAAAACTCTTGAGCTCATTTCACGCTAATGAGCAATCCGGAAAAGTTCTGGCCAAATGAAAAAAGTTAGCAGTAAGGAGGAGCTACATATAAGCAAAGGAAATTGTGACAAATTTTCATTGGCGGAAATCTACAGCTTAAGGAGAGCGCAGTTTCGAGTACTTTCCATCCACATACTCGTATCTAGGATGACAGATGGAAACCCATGAACACCTCTAAAGTATTCCCGGATCTGACACGAGAGCGACACGTTGAAAAAGAAGAGCAATTTGAATGCCAATTTGGCTGTCAAATTAAGTGAATTTAAATTAATTTAATTGACAGTGCCTCTCCACACACACACACACACACACACACACGCACATATACTCCCTACCACCCACATACTTTATTGGTCTTTGTTCTTTGTTGAGCCATTGTTTAACCCCCATCCGCCCTCTCTGTTTTCATATTTCCATCTGGATCCAAATCCGCTTTGGCCTCCCAATGCTTAAGACAAACAAATTGCTTGTTTAGCTCTTGTACTCCACCCTGAACCCCACCCTGATGTATGTACACACATGTGTGTGCTTCGTTTTGCTCCACCCCTTGGGGGAGTAGATTGACGCGGAGTGGGCTAGGCAGGGGGTGGCATATTAATTAGGTAATGCCCAAAAGGCTTATTGAATTGGCCCAGACACATAATCGGACCAAATCGCCTTTCAAACTCAACCAAATCATTGCAACTTTATCGTAGCACATCTCAAAGGGGAGTCTGGCCCGACGAAAAATCCAAAGGAAGCTATAAATGTTTGCTTTTTTCCCCTCTGCCATCTTCTGATTTTGAAATTGGACTTCATCTTGTGAAAGAGTATTCCCGCCTGTGTCTATCCATCAGACTGATTGTCTGTCTGTCTGTCTCTCTGTTTGGACGAGGCCAATAAAGGTGTATCCATTTGGGTGTCTACAATGTTCGATTGGATGTGGGGTGGTGAGAAATGCGCTTTATGCTGGCTTTTCTAGCAGCGGTAACTGCATGATTTAATGCTCTACTCTATAGGGCAAATGGACAGCTGTAAACAATTATGCCCGAAATTGTGGTCCTGCTGTGTTGTGTCAGACGCCTGCCTGCCATATGCTACATGATTTGAGTTTCGTGTTTGTTCGGGGCGTGGCACAGGCACAAACATCAAAGCTGGCCATAAACAACCCACACACCTATCCACTCCTGGGTTCCCATTAGGCTCTGTTTGTGCTCCCTCCTCGTACCATAAATAGTGTTTGCCACACACACAAAGGATGGATGGGCTCGGGGTAAGAGCAACAATGCCCCGAAGTCGTTGAGAGTTTTTGAGAGTGGATTTGGAGGCGCTCCTCCTTGCCACTGCCAGGGACTTGGTGATATTTCATTTCAAGTGTAGCGCTGGGAGGAGCGCTTTCCAAGTGCTTTCCACTCGAAGAGCAACAAAGCACAAAATCACTGTGCGGCTTAGTGCGATTCCATGGCTGTTCTTTGGGGGTGTGGGTGCGGGTATGCGACTGGGAGTCGCGACAATGTTAATGGAACTTTGGGCCTAGGGCAGGACTCTCTATGCCTTGAACCTTGATGGAGTGCGGGTGCATCTCAATCGATGAATCGATGGATGGCGGATGCCCCTCTACCGTTTTGCTTTCATACGTACATATATGAAAGATTCTTAAACTATTCTTAAATTATTTGACTTAGAGTAGCTTTATCCTAGGGTTAACACTAAAGTCTATGAGAATGAGTATGAGCGTGAGGGTCGAGCCAATGGATTTGTGTTGGCTCTGCGGGAGTTTTTCCAATCGAACGAATAAATAAATGCCAAAAGCAGACTGAATGAATGAATGAAGGAATGAATGTATGGTCAATGGATGAGAATTGGTCACAGAATGAAAGTGTGGGCATTATGGTGTATTGGCCATTGTATTGTCGGGGTGGGGTGTGCGGTGTGGGGATTCCATGTACATGTCCACACAAAAGGAAAACCCGCAGCATTGTTCGTTGTGGAGTTGCCAGAGCGCGCAGTAGAGAAAAACTAAGGTAAAACTTAACAAATATATATATATATATATGTAATAATTGTAAGGAAGAATATCTATATACTTGAATGCGTGGATCGATTGTACCAATCAAACTAAGTAAAGTAACAGAAACCAAACCAAATACCCAAGAACTCAACTACAATGCAAGCGAGAAAACTTTGTTTGCTGTTGAAAGTGTGCTAAAGTGTTTTAAACAATTTAAATAAAATATAATGTTAAATATAAAAATATAATGTGGTATAAGATAAAAGCAATGCAGTGCCAGAGATACTACCATTGGTGTCTCTAGCAATGCAATCCTCTTCAAAGGATGTGCGGGGCAGAGAAACAACACAAAAGGAATCGTATTGAGATGGAGGGATGGTGGAGGACAAAACAAAAGCAGCAATGAAACACAAAACAACATAAAATCAAAGGCAAACGCAAACAGATAGACAAAGAAAGAATTATTAAAACATAAAAAGAAAGTACAAAAAAGGAGTAAAAATAAAAACCACTGACGTCCGCGCTCTGTGTTGAGGTCTCCATCGTTGCCACCGATTCCATTTCCATTTCTATCCTCATTGCCGCCATCCACATCGATGATGCGATCATCATCATCAGTGTCATTACCACCATCACCATCTTCGCTATCGATATCGCCATCGTTATCCTTTGGCCCAGCGGGAACGGGCTCTGCAAGCTTCGGCTTCTCGGGCTCGGGATGATCAATGATAATGTCGCCCTCGTCTTCGTCTTCGCCCTCGTCATCGCCCTCGCCGCCTCTTTCCACATCGATGACATCGCCGCTGGCCTCCGCCTCCACATCGAGATCTTCATCCTCATCGAAGGCAGGGAAGTGTGGCAAAGGACGGCTCGCTGTAGAGGATTCGAGAACAATGGGCATAGGCGTGGTTTGGGTGCGATTCGTGGCGGCTGTGGTGGAAGTAGTTGTGGCCGCTGTTGTCGTGGTGCTTGTGGTGGTACTGCTGCTGCTGCCGGTTGTCGTTACTGGTGAACTGCTTGTTGTTGTTGAGGTTGTGGATGAGGTTTGGGTTGGTGTATGAGCTGCTGGATATAGAGATGGGGTTGTTGGTGTTCGTGTTCTTGTAGATGTTGTGAATGAATTGTTGTTAGTGTTGTTGTCTCTAGATCTAACATAACTATAATCTAAGCTGGCAATGACTGTAACTGTATTTGTATTTGTATTTGTATCTGTGGCTGTGGCTGTTGTTGTCTCTGTATCTTGAATTGGCGGTGTAATTGTTGGATTTGGGAGAACTAAAATGTGGTGTGGTGTGGAGTAGTGGAAATAGTAGAAGATAGAATGTCTCGCTTAGAATAGCTACAAAACTAGCTGGATCATTACCGATTGTGCTAATGCCAGTGCCACTATGACCACCGATCTCACCACCACTGCCACTGATGATGCCACCGCTCTGGCCGCCGATGTGATTCTGATTACTGTTATGGTTCGCTGTGGTGCTACTACCAATGATTGTGCCACTATTCGCTGGATGGTGATTGTTATTAAGGTTGGGATTAATATTATTATTATTATTATTATTGTTATTAATATTCTGGCTGTTGTTGTTGTCGATTTGGTTCAGGTTGTTCTTATTGTTGTTGTTGAATCTACTCGATATGTGGTCGAGGTCGTCGTTGTGGCTGTTGTCGTTCGATTTATGCTTACTATTTATGCTGGAGCCGCCACTCTGCGATATGCGTGTATTGTGCGAACCGTGTGTCGGGCGATGGTCCGGCTCGGCGTCCTCGTCATCCGGTCCAAAGCCAGAGCCAGAATAGTCCGGATCCTTCTCTAGATCGTCGTGTATCTGCAATCATAAAGAAGGCACAATGAAATGGGAATTAGCTCAGGGTTTTCAAAACATATCTTCAGGGGCCCTCCCAAGTGCTTGTGCGCAACAAATGGCAGCCATTTCCATGGAGAACAGAATAATACGAGAATGTCCTTGAATGTCCGCACTGCCTGTGGGTGGGTCTTCCTTTATGTTTTGGGGGCTGGGCCACTCATATGGGCCATTGTCTGGCTGCGGTTCTGTGACTGTGACGGGTTTTTGCGGTTTATTTGTGACCCGAAACGAGCACTTAGACCACAGAGAGGGAGAGAGAGAGACAGAAGGAGGGGTAAGGCCCAAAGGGCCACAGCAACTGTGACCAGAGCCAATTGTCGGGGGATAGCGGGGCAACAATCCTCCGTGGCAGCCGCAGCCGCAGCCCCAGCAGCAGCCTCCAGGGCTGGTTTATTGACTTTAATTTCGTTTGCCGTTTGTTCTGCCCATAAAAACAGTGGCCCAAAAATAGAAAGGCAGATCGGGGGCCAGAGGACAGAAACTTAATTGAATTTCTCCACGCGTTATGAAATGCCCTACAAAACGATGGCATTGTCTTGGCATTTGGCCAGCGCTAACGACACTTGTTGACCCGCCCCATAGCCAGTGCTTAAAGAGACAGAGAGAGAGGGAGATAGAAGACAGGGCCATGAGTACTCATAATGAGAAAATTGAGTAATTTGTAGAGTGAAAGCAATTCAATTTCTCTCCTGCTTCACCCATAAAACATAATTTATATTACATTTTCCAGCAGAGCCTTTACAGGTACAAACGTATCCGACAGATAAGAAAGGATCTTTACTGATACACAAGTATCGTTTGCTTGTGCATCTCTAAGATACAAAATTATCTTACAGATACAAAAGTATCTCACAGTATCTCTCATTTGTGTGTGGGAACGAAACAGACTTACCTTTCGACGTGGATTAGGTGGAAGAGAATCAAAAATGATGTTGGGACTAAGGTTCTAACTGCTTAGGTTATATTTTTCTATTTTTTTTTTTACTAGAACTTACTAAGATGATCGGGCAAAGAGATTGCACTACCAATACAATGTACTTTTCATTAGAATTCATCTTCGCAGAATTTCCAAAATGAACGAAAGAGAAAGTGTAATCTCCATACATATATCCATAATTCAGCTCTCATTCTCCTTCTCCAGGGTATAGCAAAAATAAGACATAAGCAAACATAATCCTCGCAAATACGTTTTCCTCTTATTTTTGACGAGAAATTTCAGATTTTGTTGCTGCTGCTGCTGTTTGCTTACGTTTCATTTCATTTCGTTTCGTTTGAAATTTAATTAAAATATTTGCGTATTGCGTATACGTCGCGTTGTGCACTCGGAGCATCCACACATTTATCATGTTTCGGAGGCCAGGCCGCAAGTCCCCCCGCACTTTGCACACTCTCCGCACGCTTGCTTCCACAGAAATGGTATCCACTAGGCAAACACTTGACCAAAGTACTCATAAATATCCACCAGGGACACCATGCACATGGAGAATGGCGGCAGCACAGGAGTCGCCCCAGAAGTGGCCATAAAGCATGAGGCAACAAAAATGTTTGTCCTGCTGCATGCCGCCACAAGGGAGAATGGAGGATGTAGAATGTAGGAGGATGGCTTGCAACACTTTCGTTCTGCCCGAGTTTATTTAGAGCGTGCTCCTCTATCCCTTTCGCTGTTTTGCCGCTTGATTTATGCCGCAATTAGCAGTCAGAAAATGGGGCATGCCAAGCGGAATGGGGCAAGCAGCGAGCAGCAAGCGGCGTGCGGCGTGAGGCTGAGTGCCGAGTGGCAGCTTTGCCGCATGACTAAGCAGCCTCTTGCTCAGAGCATTTGCTGTATGCTGCCTCCTTAGCTCTTAGTTTTCGCTGCTAAATGAACTCATTTCGAGAGAGGCAAAAACTTGCCCCGAAAATTGCACTTTCATAGCCCTTGCCCAGGGGCGATGCCTCTGGCCTGCTCCCCAAAGTCGAAAGTTCCACCTTCTTCTTCCCACTCCTGCCACAAAGATCAATGGTGCATGATGCATGGTGGTGGGGGGGCTGCGGCGGCAACTGTGGCAACTGTGGCCTGCAGAGTGCTATTTGAATTTATGCAATAAATTGCTTTGTTAATAAAATACGAGTTGCGAGGACGAGGCGAATGCCAAGGAGCAGTGGGTGCTGATGGCAGATGCTGCACCACACCCACTGCTGGGAGAAGAGAGGTGGTGCAATGTGGGTCATGCATGAATTTAAATGATGTCATTTCGTCCACTATTTTGGCCACCTGCTGCCCAGGCGGCGCACTGCAACGGAATGGAATGGAATGGAAAGGAAAGGAAACGTGGCTCGTCTTTCTCCCGCTTCTTCCGCATTAAATTTGCATTTGCTGGCAGCTGACTCAACACACCCCCCACACCCATTCATTCTCCCCATACATGCATGCCCGTCCACTATGCGGCACCACCCTCTTGGCAGTTTTGGGCTGGCCAACATGGCGTATGCTTGACACCATTCTGATATATGACAACGAAAATGAAATACGAGCCTGTCACGCGTACTCTGTGCTGGCGCAAAATTTCCATAAACCGGAAATTGTTTCAATAAAGCGTTTAAAAACTTCACAAAATTCCAACTGGCAGGCAGAAGGAGCGAAGGAAGAAAGAGGGACCGGGAAAAGAGCGAAGAAAACTAGTTGCTTGCAAAAGAAAACTCGAGGGAAAGCTGAATGAGAGAAGGCAACGATGCGAGAGATGGAACAAAAGCAGCGGCAACCTTCGGAGCTTCCATAATGAGTGCAAATTGTGTCAGTGAGTGCGTTCAACTGAAACAGGGCAGGAGGCGGGGGAGAGGGGGCGTGGTAGTCGGAGTGGTGTTGCCACAGGGTGCTGCACGATGAGAGAACAGAGGCTGCCAGGCACGTTTCATGCATAAACAACAAGAGTCTCAGTCTGAGACTGAGACTCTGATGCCATGCACTTCTCGACTTGTTTCCACATTTCCATCAAACATCAGGCAACAAAATTATCATGGCCGCAAAGGAGAAAAGTTTTTCCGACTTCTCTCCCTTGTTGCCCAACACTATTTGCCACTTCTTTAAGCATAATTAATGCCATGGATTAAATTTGCGAGCGTATTGCCATCATAAAACAGACTTGCAACCAGATAGAATTCATAACAACAACAACGACAACAGTGTCCACACACAGTATTCCCTACTGACTATCCTGTCGAGCATCGGCGGTGCCGACTAAAATCCCAACTAAAAGACAAGAAGCTTTCAATTTGCTGCATCACAAAATGTTTTCCAAAAGTTTTCCTGCCAACAAAAGTTATCCTAACGAGTAAATTGTCGATTTGACAATGTTCCCAAAGTGCGTGACTCGAGAGTTGACCGAGTTTTTCCAAGTCCCCCCCTTCACCAACCTCCTCTCTTGCCCACACAAAAAAAACATTGGAAAAAATCGTTGGCCAGGGCTTTGGCTGTTTGGATTTTTGGGAGGCAGATTTGACCCCATTTGCTTCTCTTCTCCTCTCACTCCTTTTATTCTCTGCCTTTCATTGAGATTTCTGCATTGTGTACGTAACATTTGGTCCTGAATCCAAAGGATCCAAAGTATCCAAGTGGCCTGCTAAACATTTGCATTCTGGTATTTTTGGTATACACTTCCGTTTGCAAAGGAAATGGCCAAAGTTTTTCAGCCACACACACACAAACACACACACAGAAGGTCAGGGGAAGGAGATGAGGGGCCTGGGGTAACCACAATCCTTGGGAAAATTGATAGCCAGAGAGAAGCTTTGTTTTTCCTGCTTTTGGAATCGGCATGCCTCAATAATTGCTTGGGGGCTCCTCTGCAGGGAGGTAGTTCTAATTTATTTACATGCAACTTGCAATTTTGGTTTCCATACAGGGAAAGAATGAGTGAAACAGAGAGAGAGAGAGAGAAAGAGCAGGAAAGTTGAGAAGAGAAATAGTTAGAGGCAGAGACAGAGACAGAGACAGAGAAACTCTCAACGAACTAAACGAAAACTCAATTTTCCAGCTGGAAGATATCTTTCGGCTTTATTTAGACAATGACCGCCCGCCCATCCTCTGCAGAACTTCTTATTTTCCGATTGGTCATTTACATTTAGATTGGAGCAAAGCGTAATCCAATGAGCAGAGCAGACACTCATCCATATTCAGGGATGTTCGTGCCACATGCAATTCTCATTGTCTTTTTGGGGGCTTATGCTCCACACGGAGCTTTTCGTTGCACGAAATAATTGCTTTTTAAATGCAACAACAAATGCAACAAATGAGCATCACACGGGGCATGCAACACAGAAAATTGAAAAAGTTTAACGAAAAAAATACCACCAAGTGGATGTTTTTTCCTGCTGAATGCATCTCAAGAGTTGCGAAACTTTCACTCACACACACACACACACACACAGATACCAAGGGAAAATTGTGTCGTGGCCTTGCAGCAGCAGCAGCAGCAGCACAACAATTGCTTAGTTTTCCCTTTATTTTCCACGTTTGTTCTTTTTTGTTTTTTATTCTCTTTTCTCTATTCCATCTGCAGCACGAATAACTCTTTTGTTGTCCAAACGCTGTTGCATATTGTTCTGCGCGCTGCCCCTGACACTGGTGCTGCTGCTGTTGCTGCCACCGCCTGCGGCAGCAGTGTGCCATAATGTGGCACTTAATTGGCAGCTGCATTGCAGCGCCTCGTCCGTCAACCAGGAGCTGACACCATTTATCAAGCTCTCGTCTGTCAGCGCTTGCCTTTTGCTTAATTCATGGGGATATCTTATCGGGCTTTATAGTTTACGTTCTTCCAACGGGTTACGGGCACAGGAATCCTTCATTCGAGGCCTCCCCTTTTGGGGCATTTACCTTTTTATCAGCCATCAGAGATTTATATGCCAGCCATGCACCGGCTGCAAAGTGTATCGTGGCAAAAGGTATTACAACCGGAATAAATATCCACTCTAAAGTTCCTGTT